AAAAGTCAACAGCTGATCATATGTCTTTGTTTATGTGTAAAAAAATACTGCTTCCATAAGGATTACATTGAAACTTTGAGACCCAGCGGGGCGGATTCCTGAGAGACTTTTTTAACGCCATATAGGTAGATGTTGGCACTCACCGATATGGTCTTTATCACCATGCAAAATTTTAAACCGATTGATTCAGCCGTCTAGGAGGAGTTTGCGTATTACGAAATGCATAAAAGTCGACGTATAAGAGCTTCGCTCAATAAGTCAAATAAAATCTAACTTAATAATTAAATTATAAAATCATTTAAAACGTTATTTAGAAAATTTATTTTACATATTTTAAAATAAAAAATATTTACATAAAAAAAAAAATTAATTAAAAAATTACCATGAGACCTACGGTAATAGCTCTATTTCCAATAGGGAAATTCGCTAAAAGTAGTTATGGGGTCTTATTTCTTTATTATAATGACATTTTAAGGTGTGGTTGAGATCACATAAATTATAAATAGCAAGCAAATTTTGATGGGTAAAACCAATTTAATATTGTGCAAGTAGCAAATATCTGTCAGCTAGTGGAACTTGTATAGCTTTTGTGTACTAAAGCCTGACATTGATATCATTTTAAATCCAAAACCCCTAACACCCCAATTTTATTATGGAATTGTCAACAAAGGTATAATTGATAAAAATAATGAGCCTAATCATTAATACTATTTAAGAAATTTAGCGAAATGACAAAAAACCAAACTTACCTTCTTAACAATTTCATTAAGGAAATCGACTAAATGTGATGTGTAAAGACAGGGTCTCTTTCAAACCAACACCATTCAGTGAGTGTGGGCTAAATTTCACTGATTTGTTTGTTAAAAAGTCAAGAATAAACATACCGTATGTTCTTCTAACAATGCAATCATGTGTAAATATTTTTAAGAGACCACATTATAATGTAAAGAAACTCAAACTGTCAGCTTCTGGAGCACTGTCAGCTACTGGTGCATTTACCTTACCTTATGTTTTTATTGTAAACATTTGTATTACTCGCTCTACTTCAATTGATAAAAAAACGCAAATGGATTGTTTACTTCTAAGTTATGATGCCAGTTCCTCGGGCAAACTTATACAAAGTTTTTTTTACTGAATTCACCAACACAATCCAGACATTTCTAGTAAGAAGTTTCAAAAACTCATTTGCTATTGAAAGTGTTAGTAGCAAAGACCAAACATTATTATTTATATTTAGACCAAACATAAGTGAAGGAATTAGTGTTTATGTATTCAACGATCGAGTAGTTACGGTCAAGTTATGATTCAGGAGGAGCAAATAATATACGCTGTTCAAAAAGAGAAAATTAAAATTGCTATCCAAATCTTATAGCTACAAGAGTTATCGAACCTATTTCGACAAATGAATCCATACTTTCAAAACTTTGGGACATATATTAAGAGAAACTCCACTGAACAACGTGAGAATGTTCTAAATCGGTATAGATACTGTGACTGGCAGACAACACATTAAATTACATTAACCAACATTCCGTTGTGTTGCTGCTTTAGTCTTTTCAAAGCAGATTATGGCTGTCCAGTTGGTAACCCATAGTTTGTGGGTAAAAAATGGAGCACATCAAAAGGTTAATATCACCCCACTTTTCAGGATTCTCTGCAAAGAACATTCTTTAGTCTAGGGGGATGTCTTAAATCAAAGAAATAAAATGACCCAACTTTAATTACTTAACACAGGTTATCAGTAGGACAACAGTTTTCTTGAATTCTCAATGCTGGAAAAACTGTTGCAACATGTTACTCAAATTGAAGCAGAGCGTTTAGCATCCGTTAGAAGTTATCAGTTAAAACTGAGAGCAGAAATAATGTAGATGAACCTTGACGACACAAATAGAGATATTTAAAATTAGTTTCTAACAAGTTTTCAAACAACTCTAAGATGTAACTAGAATTACTCAAATTTAAGCATAACATTTTCCTCTAGACGTTATATATTTACTGTGCGGCTTATTGGACCGCACAGGTTCTCTTTTACTTTGTGACCATTTCCGATCAAATTTATAAGCAAATCCAAAACCAAGTGAGATTAATAACTGTGTGGCTTACATAACGGAGTTTCTTGATCCCAAGTACAATAATATGTCAATTAAATTAAATAACTAGCCATCGTCCAGGTCGGGAACTGGAGATTATGTGTGTACCAAATTGTACTTGAGTTTTGATAATCGGGGAAAAGATGGTGAATCAGTGTTATGTGTGCAGGACTAGGAAACTTTTTTAAGAATTTTTAAATCATCGTGCCAAAAGCCTACAACCGAGGTTTCCACTCACGGTTTCAAATGCTGTTGTGACAAGTAAAAAATCCCAACTACACTGTAGGCTAATTAATAGTTTTATTACAGAGTGATTCTAAATTATTATTACAAGTTTAACTACTGTGTTGGGTTGCTGCGCTCCTGGAGGATCTTTGCAATTTCGTTTTGATTGTAACAATTGCTTTTCCAATGTGTCACTTTCGGTTTTGACTCACCACCATTGCGCTGCTATCGCTGGAGCATATCACCAATAGGTCTGTGGTCCATATCTTATTGGTACGTAGGCATACCTACTCAATTATCCACAACTAAATTTCGTCGATGACTCTCCGGTACCGGTAGTTTTCCCAAGGACCAGTTTAATGTTAAGATAATTTTTTGGTTATAAAATAGAACAAAACAGATTCCGGTGACACTTGATTGCAAAGCATTTGGTTTTGTTTGAAACTGTCAGATATTGTGTTTTTTAATATTGTGAGTATTCCTACAATATGTTTGCAAGCATATCTGGATAACTGCACACTTTAATATGCAATCCACCTGTTGGTCTGAATAATGTTTCAACTGACTACAAGATCCCAGGCTGTAGAACAGGCACACAGCAAGTAATGTAAATGTATAAATGTTTACTTAGTAATTTGAGTTGGAGCTACTGTTTATTCTGGAGCTAATGTTTGTTGATGTTTGTTGACTTTTCACTTTTACTGGCCAAAGACAAGAGATAGGTAAGGAAATAGTCTTGTCAGAACTAATTGTCTCAAAAATGTAGTGCATATTGCCTGGGTTGTAAATAATTTTTCTGATGGTTCTAAATATTTCCATTTATTAAGTAGACTCCTCATCCCATTGCAAATTTTGAAGCTTGTTTTTTGTGTCTAGTTCATGTAAGTCCACCACTGATCGCTGGGGTAGACGAAATATTGTTTCTATTATTTTAGGGTTATTTTCATGATTTGTGCGTTACTATTTGGTTATATAACTAGGAGACCAGTTATTGTTTATGATTATATAGTTTTATTTGGTTAAATGAGGTTTTAAATGACTGAAATAACAAGAAACAAATTGTAAACAGAACACGATCTCTACAGTTGGATTGGACGTACAGAACTAACAATAAAACTGGCTTCAACTGTTCCATAAAGATGACAAATCTACTAAGGGAGTATGTTTTATCTACGGTATTACACTTTAACAACTAAATTCTAACCAAATTTCATGCTTTTAGTAAATGTACTGTATAGGGATTAAGCTATTACCGTAGATCTTATCTTACCACCTGGACCAGGTACCAGTTTACTTTTTTGCCATGGTGTCCCCAAAGGCCAAAGATAATCCATTATGTGTGCATTGGCACACACAATAACTTGAGTTAAAATCACCTTAATTTGATTTAATTTGGTGCAAATGTGTAAGCCTATATTTATTTATAGAAACTGTTAAATGCTAAGTAAAAGTTTCCATAGCATTTCACAATTCATCCTTTTTTTGTAATTAAAGTTATAACAGCAAAAATACCTGTCATATTGAGAAAAAGTTTAATAATTATTTGTTTGTTTGCTATCTTATGACGTTTTAAAATTGCATACTGAATTTAACAAAGATATTTTTAATATTTTTATCTTTTCAAGATTTAAAACATTTAAAGCATGTATCGTAATGAACATCTTGCCAACAAGGTTTTAAAAAATGTGTTCTTGATTTTAGTTTGATTTTACCCATAAAACCTATTCCTTATTCACTTTCAGGTAATTTAATAACCCGTAAGATGCTGCTCAAGAAGTTATTAAGTAAATTTCCATTTACCTGGCTGGATTTCCACTAACATATTCTCTTTAAGTTGTCAGATTTATTTCCTACTTTCAATAAAATTACTACTTTATTTTTTGCCTAGGTTTCTGCTACAGGGATGATGATGTGTATTTCTTTATAGAAATATTGATAGATTAGTTTGAAATAAAGAAATTTGCCAAATTGCATTAAAATATATCAATAAACAAGCTAACTACGGCAGTTTATTTATTCTCAATAAGAAATAACCTGAGAATTTTAAATTTTAACTTTTTTGGAATACTTTCTGCAACTGTTAGCAATGCTTGAATACACTAAATTATTTTTTTTTTAAGCTCTATAGTTAGCAATATAGGTAGCTCTATAGCTCTACAGTTTAGAAAGAAATTGCAAAATTTTATGTTTTTAGGATCAAAAATGGGGAAAAAAAATTTTACCCCATAAAACCCCGTTCCCATAGTCCAATCGTGCTGTTTCCCGAACTTGTTTGATGTAATAAATGTGTAGGTTTACACGTTTATATTAAGTTTCTTCAAAATCCTTTCATTTTTTGCTTAAGTTATAGTGCTAACGGACACACACACATATAAATATACTATATATATGAACTTGAATGGATGGCGTTTTGACCTCTGGGCACCTCAAAACGAAAAATAAATTGGTTCTGGGTCTAGGTCTTACAATGAGACCTACGGTAATATCTTATTCCCCATATTGAATATTCGCTAAAATTACAGATAAGAAATTCAGTTTAGAGCTGACCTGAAATTAAATTTAGGTAATTTTAAAAATAAGAGATATCTTTGGAGTCCTTGTCAATGTCCCACAACAACATGGTTTAGGCATGTACGGTATTGATAATAAAGTTTTACTTTTTTTATCTATAAAAATTCTACTTACCAAACAAGTATTTGTAATATTTAAAATTTATCTTGAGTTTTCTTGATAAAACCAAAATTAACTGGAAAATTTTACATGATTGTTAAAGATTTGAATGTTTACAATAATTTAAACAATATCAGACATATGGTTTAAAAAATAAGTAACAGTAATAAATAAATTTTATAAATGTTTACGAAGTAGGTATATTAATAGCAAGGAATATTATGATAGACTGCAATTTGTCTTTTATAACTAAGCTAGCAGAATACTCAAGTGCCCTTGGTACTGGGTTGGCATTTTTATGGAACACACAAGGTTCAAACATGGTACAATTTAGTTTACCAGTTATCTTACTAATATTATAAATGTGAAAGTTTGTGTGTTTGTTTGTTTGTTTGTTTGCAGTTCAATCGCGCATTAACTACTGGACGGATTTGGCTGAAATTTGGCATGATGATAGCTCACATTCCTGATTATCTCAAAAATCCTTTCGGGCTCCGCCCCAGTGGCTCTTTAGTTCCCCATGAGTATTCATATTTAAAGGGAATTAAAGAATTTAGTCAGCTGTTTCAACTAAAAATGTTGGTTCTATCATATACAAAAGCATTAACGTTATAAGATTTACCAATAGGGTGCAGCACTATTATTTTTTGCATTTATGAAAACAGCTAATTTGAACTAAGCAGTAACAAAAAACTGTGATACACATTGAGTACTGTCAAAGTAGGATTGTTAACAGTTATCTTTATGTTTTTTACTTCATGAATAATTTGTGATATTCTAAAAATTTTTAGTAACTTATTTTTCTCTTTTGTTTAGGTGAAGTGGTAGAACATTATGGCTATGGTAGATGTGTAATACTATAAATATACCGTGAATTTAAAGAAGCAAATTTTATGAAACTGTGTCCTCTCCCATTGCAAACGCAAATAAGCTTGAGTATAACTGCAATAAGCATTTTATACTTATATGCCAACCACGTACGAAAGACGGGTACTCTGCTAGTCCTATATATAAAAACGAAACAGGGTTTTTTAATTTCACGATTCTGAATCAACCACTTGACGGATTTTTATGATTTTTGTGTTGAAAGAAAGATAATTTTGAGAACTAGGGAATGTTGAAGCCATAATTTTAGTTTAGGGTTTCAGTTTTTTAGAAATTAAGTTTTAATTATCAAAAAGTATAGCAGCCGACGGACGAGTTAAAGTAGTTTTAGTGTTGGTTTAACTAACAGCTGGTTTCTAACTGTCATTGAAATGTTTATGATACAAGTTGTTTGTATACAAAAATATTGATCGTCAGAGTTTGCCTACACACTATTTTACTTTAAAATACAGTTTATTTACTACCGTAAAAGATCTATGTTATCAGGAGATTGTGTAATTTTGAACTAAACATTTTAAGCTATAATCAAGTTTTGTCATAAATGCAATCCGTTTAAGTATAAGTGCTTAATCCTTTAAGATATAAGTGGTTTACGTGTGAAACTTGATAAAGGGGTACATTCCAAAAGTAGACCAAAAGGCTCAGATCTCGGATGGGCTGGGCAGGCTTTGCATGGCGGAGAGAAGATACTTCAACTTTAGAGGTTTCAGTGGCCAAGGTGGTAAAATAAGGTACGGTAAGTGATAGTAGGCCTATGCAGTGGAAGGTGGTATGTAGCTACTGTACTCAAAGCCCCAGTGTGTGTGAATCGGCCACCAAATTGTAAACTAGCTGTTCTGAATCATATTCAGTTTTAATTGACTACTCGATTCCCGTACGTAGGACGGGCCAACCAACAGCTCGTTTCTTTTGATTACTGAAGTAGTATAATTGTGGATATTTATTGCCTGTGCTATATTGGATATATTAAATATATATTCAAGAGTTTACTTTATGTTTTTTAATCAAAGTGAATTATTTTTCAATTGAATGCATCCATTGCCAACAAAATGGGGAGCGAGCTGGTCTAGTGGTTAGAGCGCGGGGCTCCGGTTCCTGGAGTTCCGGGTTCGAATCCCGCCAAATCACCAATGGATTTTATCTAAGTGACAATGAATGCATCCATTGCCAATAAATTGGGGAGCGAGCTGGTCTAGTCGTTAGAGCACGGGACTCCGGTTCCTGGAGTTCCGGTTTCGAATCCCGCCCCAATCACCAATGGATTTTATTTAAGTGATAATGCCGTAACCCCTAGGTCTAGCCTGAAGTATTGTGGAAAACGATTCCGAGCTCGTGCCCTGCGTCCTAGGACAAAAAAGTGTCAATCAAAAGCCTATGATGACGCCAGCATACATCGGGTGAAATTCTAAAGCGCATATCAGCGATAGAATCAATCCATTTGCGAGATGTTGGCGAGGAGACGCAGGGATGGGTTGGGTGGGATTTGGACAGCATGCGCGAGTCTGGGAGTCGGTATCGACTTTATATCCGCTGGGACAGCCGCTGGCGAGGTAAGTCCTAGTGATAAAATAATAACAAAACACTTATAGATGTCCGTTCAATGCGAAATGTTTCGCATGTTATTCATTTATTGAATTATTTAAAGACATGAAGAGTATTTTACTTTTCAAGCTCGCCAAATTAATTAAAGAGATCGCTGCAAAAATTGTGGTGAGGTGAGGAAAAAAAGGGTCTCTACGATGTTTGGATGCATTGCCAAAACGGATAGTGGATTTATGTAATGAAGTAATGATATTTAAACAGATTATCGTAACACACTGAGGAAAATATTCAACGTTAGTGATTTATTATTATTGCAAACCAATCTACCAGGTTACCAAAGTATCCAATTACTAAGTAGGCCTACATTTATGGTAAAATTCGTTATCTTGAATTTTAAAACTACTATAATATATACCCCAATTTAAACCTAATGCCAGCCGTTTATTACACGACCGAGAATTCAATCAATAAATGTTGCTCAACAAATAAAGAACTAATATGCTAGTGAGTACAGCTATCCAATCTAATGAAGTTTGTCTGAACTCGAAATAAAATGTTACCACTTTAGAAAAGTTCTATACGTATTATAAATATTGAGGTGTCTATTTACAAATTTCTAGGATTTTTTGTAGACCTATTATTGTAGGACCTCGGCTACAGTACACATGAAACCATTTACCGATTATCAGAGTCAGATAATTATAAAACTAACCAGCATCCTATTATCTTCCCTGTTTTACGTGGTAGACCTTCCTATTTAGAGACGGAAGGGACCTTGTTTGTGTTTGTTTTAGACATACCTTCTCCAGTCCTTGATGTTTCTTTACTAAACAGTGGATACTTAAATCTTCTAATACGTTGTGTCATTTACTATTAGTCAAAGGTGGTATTTTCTATATTTGGTGATGGTTATTATTTTACCATCGCTAAATAACCAAATAGATGTACATGTATCGTCGTGGGAGCGTGAACCTCTTGGAGTTCAGGAAACGGTGCAAGTCCACGAGCAATTTGTTTGGCAACATCAGGCCAAGGCTTTGTATATTTTCAACCCAGTTAAAAGACACCAGCAATTTATACGTTTTGTTATCTGGCAGCTAAGTGAGAAATCTCACATTGTTCCTGTATTTTTGTTTTATGTTTATACAGCAACTGTTCCTGTACATCAACCTTTTAAAAAGCGCATTCTAACATGTCTGAGGTAATTCAGTAAGACATTGACTAGTTCAAGCTAAAACTGTGTCTGTAATGAGATAACTCCTTAGTTTTAGCATAATAATTTAATAAACAATTGATTTGAAGATTGCTGAAAGAGTTAAGAAAAAATAATGTAGTAATCCTTATTTACGAGCAATTGTGTTTGAAATGGAGTTAATTTGTACCAATAAACATCATAAATATGTGATCATTCATGTTCTTATACGATTTTTAATTCATTTTAATATTATCTGGAGCTATCATTAAACTATAAAAGATAGTTGTTTTAAACAACTGTACAATGGACATTTGGCCTTCCGTAACGTACTTTGTTGTTACCAATATCCTTTTAAGTCCCTTAGGGTCCTCTTTGAGTCTATTGGGTGAAGAATTAAATAGATAAACCAGAGGAAACCAAACTTATCCGCTTGAGATCTTTGTGTCTTTCTGATTTAGACTTGTTCAACCAAGAAGCTAAAGCACTGATTTGACATAATCCTATGTCAAGTAATATTTCCGCTTCATAAAACACATCAAGTCCCGTGTGTCTTCTGTTTCTGGTTGACTTTGAAGACATGCGTATATTTTTAAGATTTCGTACATAAGGCGATGTGTAAAGTAACCACGGCATATCGCCCTAACATTACTCAATCACACAAAAAATATCAAGCAATTTAGCCGATATGAATGGAATTTGTTTATATATTTAAAACAATTTTATATTATTTGAAATTGTACTACAAATACATTTAATTAAAACAAAGAACTCTAAAAGCATACGTAATTTTATGAACATAATAAAACCACAGAGAACTGGGATAGCAACAGGCAGTTACAGTTTAACATTTTGTTTATATATCTTATAACTTTCGAATAAAATAGCTGGCACAATCAATCACCCTGTATTATTGTAAGCATACATCAAAGAGTAGACACATAGATGGGTTCACTCTTTAACACGATTACTAGAAAAATACCGGTATGGATCATAAACATAAACAAATGACGTTGTTGGCCCGAATCCTATACTAATAGCTTTGAACATATGTTTTGGCAGTTCTATTTAAGCAATGTTAATGATGTTAGACTCGCAAAGTAAGGCATTATTGGATATAATTCACTACAGTCCTACATTGAAAATATTTTAATTACTTGTTTGACAAAATCCCAAACATTATGATGAGCCTAACCAGTACACACAAAATCAAGTACCAGATCTCATTGTATAGATGTGTAAGTAGATATTCAATTCCTATATTAATGTTATAGTATTCAAACTTTTATGTTTCAGTTTATGTAGAATGTTTTTTAGCATTTCAAAAACTGAATGTTTTAAACACTTTGTGTTTTGAAGCATCACTATTTTACGGTAGGGTATACAACAAAAAAGCTGTTATTAAAAATACCCCCGCCGCAGCAAACCTGCCGACTAAGCGAATTTCCATTTGTCAGAATTGATTTCCAGTTAAATATATTTTAATAACATTAGGTTTAACGAGTACCTAGGTTTGCTGCTACAAGGAAACTAATAAAGTGTGTTTTTGAGTAAAATATTGATAGCTTAGTACAAAATAAATAAATTTGCCAAGTTTGATCAAAATATATCCATAAACAAGCAAACTACAACATTTGACAATATTCTCCATAAGAATAACATGGGAATTTGAAATTTACAATTTTTTAAATTTTCTCCGTTACTAATAATCGAACAAAAATACTTTTATATACTAAATTATTTGTTTTTTAAGCTCTTTAAAAAGGTCTAAAGAGAAATCGGGAAATTTTGTGTTTTGAGGGTCAAAAGTGAGAAAAACCAATTTTTACCCCATAAACCCCCCCGTCAAGCCCCTTTCCCATGGTCCGATCGTGCTGGTTCGCGAACTCATTCAAGTTTATCCCGCTTTACACCTTTAAACCAAATTTCATCAAAATTGGACAAAAATTACTCAAGTTATCGCGTTCACGGACGTATATATATATATATATATATATATATATATATTAATAAATAATATGTAAAATAACATGAGTACCCTTTTTTTATATTCTTTTTTATTTAATAAATCACATTTTTATAAAAATTTGAACGAATGGTGTTTTTGGCCTCTGGAGACATCAAAATGAAAAAGTAAATCGGTCCCGGGTCTAGGTCTTACCGTGCCACCTACGGTAATAGCTACTTCCCTATAGGGAAATTCGCTAAAAACAAGTAATTATTCATTCACGTAAATTTCTAACTGAATCCTTTCTGTAACACTTTAAGCTACATAATCACCCTCAAAGAATGTTTTATATACATCCTGGAAATATTAAAAACCTTGTAAGTTTGATAGATATAGATATCGTAGGTGGTGTTACGAAGTTATCGATTATCACTCCAAGTACGTTACAAACCACACAATCAATACCTGCCAGCGTTATCAACGAACAAAACATTTCCTGGCTTTGAACTTGAGTTGGTTTCAACAACTGATGTTTTAACAGGGTTGGTGTGTTTCTACTACTCCTTTTGGTTGAAGCTTGTCAGTATGAATTGTTGAAATGGTTAAATGAGGGAGTGTACAAATGCCTCATTATTGAAAGACTAATACTGAATTTGAAAACTATTTACATTCATTTTTGGGATCCTTATTTGAACCTCTATAATTAAACATGGAACAGTATGTATGTAATTCAATATTATCCGTGGTTATTTTAGTTCTAATTGTCAATCACAAATGACCCCTAAGCCTTATACAGGGTGTCCCACGTAAGGTGTCTCAAATTGATCACGGAAAAACGGCTTAACGTACAAGGTGAAATGACATAATTTTACACTATATTGACCCCAAGGAATAACGTAAAGATATTTTTAACTTTTTTACATACAGGGTGTGCCAAAAAATGAGGGTCACTAGTTCGAATCTCGGAATTTTCAAATGTAAACATATGTCATGTCTCACTAATGGCCTAATTTCATTTAGTGTTAAACCCACATAACATGCATTTTATATAGGCAAATTATGTTTTTGTTGTTTACACAAAATCTAAAAGACATACAAAGTAAGTGTAAATTACAAAGTTGTTAAGAATTAAAAACCTATAAAATTATGTGCTATTTGAAAACTTTGGAAAATGGGCATTTGCAAAGTTTCTAAAATGATTTTTTTGGGGAATTTTTATTATTAGAAAAAAACGTTACTTGTGTCATATCATAGGAAAGCTAATTTCATTACGAGTAAAAAATACAACCCGTGAAAGGCTAAGTGCATTGGCATAGGAAGCGCAGAGTATTAAAACATATTTATTCCCCCCCCCCCAAAGAAAACTGCCACCATTTAAACAGAAAAAGATAATTAATTTCTGTCTCCACCTAAATATTTGTCCTTGTCCATTAAACACCTTTAAAATGGTGAAAAACATGAGATATGTTTACTTTGAAAACTCGGACATTCGAACTAGCAGCCCTCAGTTTTGGCACACCATGTATCTGAAAAACAAATAAAATATTTTTACGTTAATCCTTGGGGTCAATTTAGTGGGAAATAATTGTACTTGGTGATTAAAAAAGGACTTTACAACTTTGAAAATTCATATAAATCTTATTAAACAAGGTACAGAGTTGGTTTTGGTGTTGTTTTAAAGGAAAACACTTCAAGTTTTTTTACCTTAAACTAAAGATGTTCTATGTTACTTCCGTTGGATTTGGGGAAAATAATTAATTTAGGACAGAACACGTTTTTTCAAACGGCTATAGCTCGAAAACGGTAAGAGCTAGAAAAGATTTGAGGAAAAAGGTAGGTTCGGAATTAAATTTCTTACAAGACACTATTTGGCGTCTTTTGAAAATCGCACTCCTTCACCGTCAAAAAACGCCCTACTTTCACAATTTTGTAAATTTCTCTCAAATTTTTAACGGTTTTCAATATTTTTTCATACCTAAATTAATTATTTTCCCCAAATCCAACGGAAGTCACATATAACATCTTTAGTTTAAGGTGAAAAAACTTGAAGTGTTTTCCTTTAAAACAACACCAAAACCAGCTCTGTACCTTGTTTAATAAAATTTATATGAATTTTCAAAGTTGTAAAGTCCTTTTTGAATCACCCGGTATTTCATTCTTGTATGTTAAGCCGTTTTTCCATAATGAATTTCAGAGACTTTACGTGGGACACTCTGTGTAAGCTGTACTTGAATCCAGTACCTGTTTCATATACAGGATTTGAATTAGCACGCAGGAATTCTGTCCAGACCGGGTATCCGAGGTAAACATGTGTTAGACTAAGTTGTTGTAGACTGGTGGTTCTTGAGTAGGTAAGCAGTTTTTGTCAACAACAACAAAAGTAGGCAACAACAAAGGCTACAGCAACAAATGGGAACATAAAAACGGGGAAGTGAGCGAAGCTGTTCCCCTAGGTACCCAAAGGACGAGATTCATGCATTTAGCTTTGGGAGCATCGGAATTACCGCTGGACCATGCACATTATTTCGGAACAGTGAAACCTTGCGTTTCTGTAAGATTATTGTTCTTGTACCTTGGTGTGTTTCAGTATGAGCGGCCTAACACTTTGGTTGACCGTGACGGTCTGTGTGGCATGTGTCGTAGCCATCCCTTCCAGTCTCCTGACGGACGTGAAACAGGCAGAGATGTCCCACGCCAGACTTACTAATAAAGGTGAGTTAAACGAAATGATGGTGCTGTTGTCTCAGGATTAGATATTATTAATGTTTAGAATGGCGTATATACGTTAGGTTAATCCTTTAAATTGCACCAATCAACTAGTAGGTTAGTCGGTGGTTATACGTATTTTATTTTTTTGTGTCATCTGGCTTAGTAGTTGTAAACGAGGCCTCCTGTTCTGGAGACCTATTGTTAAAATTCCGCTAACCAAGCTTAAACTGTCTGTAAGCTGTTTAAACCGATCTTAAAACAAGCTAAAACCAAGCTTAAACCGAGCTTAAAACAAGCTTAAACAAACTTAAAACAAGCTTAAACCAAGCTTAAAACAAGCTTAAACCTAGTTAAATCCAAACTAAAACCTAGCTACGACCAAGCTTAAACCAAACTAAAAGCTTTAAAAAAAACAAACTAAAACCAAACTAAAACCAAGCGAAAACCAAGTTAAAACCAAGTGTACTGTCTGTAAACTGATAATGTAGATATTATTGTTCATCAGCTGGATTATTTGTTTGTGTTTGTATATTTGATGGACTTAGAAAAAAAATATTTTCTATTTTGTTAGTTTATTATTTAAATATATAGTACACCAAACTAAAAACAAGCTTAGAACAAGATTAGACCTAGCTTAAAACCAGCTAAAACCAAGCTAAAACCAAGCTAAAACCAAGCTAAAAACAAGCTATAACCAAGCTTAAAACAAGCTTAAACCGATCTTAAAACAAGCTTAAACCGATCTTAAAACAAGCTTAAACCAAGCTTTAAACCAGCTAAAACCAAGCTTAAAACAAGTTTAAAACAAGCTTAGAACAAGCTTAAACCAAGCTTAAAACAAGCTTAAAACAAGCTTAAACCGATCTTAAAACAAGCTTAACACGAGCTTAAAACAAGCTTAAACCAAGCTTAAACCGATCTTAAACCGATCTTAAAACAAGCTTTAAACAAGCTAAAACCAAGCTTAAAACAAGCTTTAAACAAGCTAAAACCAAGCTTAAAACAAGCTAAAACCAAGCTTAAACCAGCTAAAACTTAGCTTAAACCAGCTCAAACTTAGCTTAAAACAAGCTAAAACCAAGCTAAAACAGGAAAAAACACTGATAAAACCGAGCTTAAAACAAGTTTAAACCAAGCTTAAAACAATTATAAACCAAGCCTAAAACAAGCTAAAACCAAGCTTAAAACAAGGTAAAACCAAGCTTAAAACGAGTTGAAACCTAGTTAAATCCAAACTAAAACCAAGCTACGACCAAGCTTAAACCAAACTAAAACTAAACTAAAAGCTTTTAAAAAACAAACTAAAGCCAAACTAAAACCAAGCGAAAACCAAGTTACAACCAAGTGTACTGTCTGTAAACTGATAATGTAGATTTTATTGTTCATCAGCTGGATTATTTGTTTGTGTTTATGTGTTTTGTTTGATATACTAAGAAAAAAAATTATTTCAATTTATTATTTAAATATATAGTACACCAAGCTATAACCAAGCTTAAAACAAGCTAAAAACAAGCTATGACCAAGCTTAAAACAAGCTTAAACCGATCTTAAAACAAGCTTAAAACAAGCTTTAAACAAGCTAAAACCAAGCATAACACATCAAGCTTAAAACAAGCTAAAACCAAGCTTAAAACAAGCTTAGAACAAGCTTAAACCAAGCTTAAAACAAGCTTAAACCAAGCCTTAACCAAGCTTAAAACAAGCTTAAACTAAGCTTAAAACAAGCTAAGACCAAGTTTAAAACCAGCTAAAACCAAGCGTAAAACAAGCTTAAAACAAACTTAAACCAAGCTTAAAACAAGCTAAAACCAAACTAAAACAGGAAAAAACACTGATAAAACCGAGCTTTAATCAAGTTTAAACCAAGCCTAAAACAAGCTAAAACCAAGCTTAAAACAAGCTTAAACCTAGTTAAATCCAAACTAAAACCAAGCTACGACCAAGCTTAAACCAAACTAAAAGCTTTAAAAAAAACAAACTAAAACAAAACAAAAACCAAGCGAAAACCAAGTTAAAACCAAGTGTACTGTCCGTAAACTGATAATGTAAATTTTATTGTTTATCAGCTGGATTATTTGTTTGTGTTTATGTGTTTTGATGGACTTAGAAAAAAAAATTATTTTCTATTATGTTAGTTTTAATTTATTATTTAAATATATAGTACACCAAACTAAAAACAAGCTTAGAACAAGCTTAAACCTAGCTTAAAACCAGCTAAAACTATCTAAAACTTACCTTAAAACAAGCTGCCCTGGTTAGCCGCCCATAGCATTATTGGCAATTTGAAAATGCCGGGATCCAGTGGTTTGGAAAACTCGTTACCGTAGATAACCAAAATGGATAGGTTTTCCTCAAACAAGGACAATTATCTTAGCAATGGAGGAATCCTACTACAAACTAGACGATTAGTTTCATTCCAATTTTAATGAAGGGTAAACAATGACATACTGTTAGGTTTATGTATAGATTAAACATACTCTCTAAGGAGTTTATGTTCGTTATTTAGTCTGACGGACGGTTTTGATTCTCATGGTCAATTTACATAGAATGTACATATATAATTCAAGGTAACAGTGTGTGTATTAATTTCAGTAAAACGAGCTCAAGAAGTGATCATGTTCGGCAATCAACAGAACAGAGGAGGCGATGGTCGAAACGCCTTCTCTCTTCCACGCGCCGAGAAACGAGGTGAGTTGCATGAAGACAGTTCTAATAACCATACTTGAAGTATCCACGTCCTGAATGGGGAGCGAGCTGGTCTAGTGGTAGAGCGCGGGGCTTCTAACGCAAAGGTCCCAGGTTCAAATCCTGCCAATCACTGATGGATTTTATCCATGTGATAATGCCGTGACCTACTAGGACTAGCCTGAGGTAATATGTAAAATAGTTTCGGGCTAGAACTTAGCTTACTAGGAATTGAAGGAGGTACAAAAAACATCTACTTGTGCTACCACTGATGTAGGGAAGAGGTGGTTTCTGTCTGCGTTTTATTTCTTTGGGGATCTACTGAACTGAGATTCCACAAAAAGTCTGGGAACCTCAAAGTTCTCTTCATGTTCTAAAATTCTCTATGGGCTCAGAAAAGTTTCTAGGCGTAGCTTTCGGAAATGTATACAGATTGCTCTCAACGGCAAATAAGAAACCCGGTAATTTTCAAATTTGCTTCATTTACATTTATTTGGCATGTTTCTGACTGTAAAGTCTGTAAAGTAAAAATAACCACAGTAAAAATGTTATTGAAATCTTCAACTTATGTTCATACAATGTTTTACATGTGAGTATTCAGATTTAATGCGAAAAGGAGTAATATAGTTTTTTTTTTGTCTTAGAACGCTAGGCACGAGCCTGGGATAGTCTTTCACATGACTTCAGGATAGACCTAGGGGTTGTGGCATTATTACTTAGATAAAATCCATTTGTGATTTGGCGGGATTTGAACCCGGGACCTCTTGGACCAAAGTCCCGCGCTCTAACTACTAGACCAGCTCGCTCCCCAAGCAATATAGCAATATAGTGGGAGCAATATAGTGGATTCAAGCCAAATATAACGATGTAGTCCCAAAGCAAAGAGGAGATAGCCATTTTATCTCCTTTGTTTACTGAGGTTAGATCAAATTTAAGTGAGCATACCCTCTTCAAACATTAAATAAATGAAATAAAACTCATATCTTTAGACATATCTGTATCAGGTATAGACCTAGAGGACGGTGCCATGGGGGAATCCGCTCCCAACGGCCTAGCCGAGGCTGCCACAGAGCAACCCCATGAGCCTTACCCTCCAGAGGATGAAGTCCTGGAGGAACCCAAGGTCCTTGCCCAGAGTTACCGACCCTTGGCCGAACTGCAGAACTCTGTGCTTAAGTCGGAGTACTTCACTGACCCAGGTGAGATGGAGGGATGTGGTCGGGAGAGAATGGTATAGTGGTAAAGGTTTACAGCTTTAAATTTAAAATGGGTTGACCACGTTCAAATACCATATAAAAAAAACTGAAGGTATCTGTGATTTCAAAAACTCTACGTGTATACTCGTTAAAATCAAGTGGATTTAGTTAACATGCATTGTGATTGCCCTGGAAACGCAATATTGACTAATAAGAGGTTTACTATACCTATCAGTAGCTCCAATGTTTGACAAAGGCATCCCTCCAAAACATACAATACCTTCATCATTACCACTGGAACTCACTTTAGTGAATAAATAAATAATTACATTTATACACAACTAAACAGGTTGTCTGTATTTGCTAAACACAACTTACCAAGTTTTTTTACGAAGACACAAACATGCTAATCTCCTCCTAAGCCCATCCAAAACATGCCAATAATTTTCAATTGGTGTTGTATAAAGGATCGTAGAGAGGGGAGAATTTCCCGTAGGCAGACCAACAAAAATGTACATTTACGTATCATTCAATGACGTTACCTCGCACAAACACGCCTTGTCACGTCCATTAATTTTATTTTTAGTGAATTTTAAAGGGAAGAAGTGTGTGCATGTGAACACGAAAATTCGAGTATTTTTGGTCAGGTTTTGATGAATTTATGCATGAATGTGTCGAGATTGATATACTTAAAAAAAGTTCGTTTAACAGTATAATCGGATCATGAGGTTTTGAAGTTATTTTCAAAATTTTAACCATAAACATGGAAATGCCGATTTTTCATTACATCCGTCGTGTAGAGCTTAAAATCATTCAATGCTGTACATTGCAGCATTATTGTTTAATTAGTGGTTACAGAGAAAATTCCCCAAAAAATGTATATGTTATTCCTTAAGAGAAAAATAAAACTGTTACAATTTGCATGTTTATGTATATGTTTCATTTTATACTGTACTAGCTGAACCCGGCAGACGTTGTCTTGCCTTTTGACTATTTATAATTTAAGTACCGTTACGTTTAATTTTCAAGATGATCTCGTTCGCATGGCTCAATCACGTCCTGGTTGACGTTCGTTCGCTACGCTCACTCAAATGGAAAATAAATATGACTTGTTTATGAAAATATTTGAGTAAGATTCCAATCAGATAAATTGAAATTCGCTTAGTCTGCAGGTTTGCTGAGCTGGTTTAACATTTACGTATCTTACACAAATCCTATAGTTGATGACCTGTCGATGACACATTTTCCGACGGGTTTGAAGGAGTTTGCACTATCTTTTGGGTTGGGAGGAACTTTCAAGAGTCATTGGAATTGTATTTAATTAATTCTACTTTTGATTTTCTTTTTGGACAAGTCTTATAGACCATGACAATAACAGTAGTCTAGTAAGTTCATTTGTCATAAAATAACCATCACTGAACTAAAAATTTTTAAATAAATATAATTCTTGTTTTTTTTTCAGCCTCTCTGACCGACCTCAGATATTATGATTTAGATGAGAGACGCAAAAGGGAAACTTTCAGGACTCCGTCCAAACGCTCAAGGTTAGTAGTCTATCCAAAACTAATCTTAGTTTGTAAGTACATTACTTAACATCTACTATGTACTTCAAACAAAAAAGAGCTCATTTTAAAGCTTACAACCTAGAAGGATGGTAACAAAAATATAATTTCCTCTAGGCCCCTCTTGCGAGTTTATTACTTGAGTTTGCTTTCAAGAACTCAGTGATACTGGCCCACTTTCTTTATAAAGGTTTTAATATGGATTTATATTTAACAGCAGTTTAGTTGAATGTTCAACACTTCAGTACTCAATAGTAAATGGTTTAACCAAAGTCAGAATGTAAACAAGAGACAAAACAGGTTACTAAAACGGTTTTAATTGGTATTTTTTACGTTGGTGACTTTATTAAAGTATTGCAAATTTAATTTATTAGCCTACAAATTTAGTTTTATTCGCCTAATAATTATCAGACAATATGCCACTTGATATTTAAAAATTAAAAGAATATCACATCATTTGTTTTGCATCGAAAACAAGCTTTGAACAGGCTGGCGACTGGGACTGTGGCGTCGTCCTGTAACCCAGCTACTAGGTCACGAATTGTGGATATTTATAGGCATGCACTGTGGAGCCGATACTCTCTGGTGTGGATTAACGTACGCACTAGTGAGTACTACAACTATCTGCAATACTATCCTGACAAATTCGTTAATACCAAGGCAAAAATGTGGTTCAGATTCCAGTATAAACTGTAGTGTCTTAGTTGCCATTAGCTGTATGGGCTATTAATTAAAAACTGTGTCTAAGGAATGTGTCGGCATTAGTCACTAACAAGACTACAAGATCGCACCACTAATCTTACACTCATCTCCATTCATATTTGGCTTAAAATAACTACTTTTTATGGTCAGCATTTCAATGAAAAGTAATAAAAAGTATCAAAAGTATTATTTGCGTACGGGTAAACAGAAAAAGATACAAACGCATGCTTCCTAATTTTAGGTCCCAACAAAGTTATTGTGGTAAAATTGAATTATGAAACAGTCACAATGTCGGAATAACGGGTGTATATTTGTGGTATAGTATTTGGATGACTAGTCCAACAATGAGAATATGAACTGTACAAGAATATGAAGTCCAGCCAAGGGATCAGCAGGGAGTCAATGCTGACCCAATGTTCGCTTACTGTCAATTAGTTAGTGTTGTCTGAGGGATCGTTCTTTTATTAGACGGTCAGCTGTTAGCAAACTAGTGGTCATGTGTTTGCTGGATACATTAATTGTTAGTGAACTGGTAAAGTTTAATGTGCTCCATGAAGTCACAGTCTTTACAAATAAAAAACACACTACGATATTTTTAGTCGTTTTACAAACGTTAATTGGAGTCTGAAAGCTAAGCAATGCTGTTGATGCCAGCTGTCATCGTCATTTTGGAACCGAGGACGTTGTTGCGGCCCTAGGGGTGAAAATCAGCTGTTCGTTTATTTCTTTATACATTTATGTTTTTTAACATGTAATTTTCATTGCTGCTTAGCAACTATTTATTATTATTTTTACTGATATCTAAATATTTCTTCACATAACCTTAAAGTTGCAGCCATGTTCACTGTTAGTTTGAATATTGTACATATTTTCTCAATTTTTTATAGTGTGGTCATCAGTAACTTTCGTACCATTGACCGAACTGGTTTTGCAGCTCTAAATCGTTTTAAGAAATACGATCTCGAGCTGGCAAAATCTAATTTTCGGCCCTAGGTGCGAAATAAACGATTTCTACACGTGATGTCACGTGTTAACCTGAACGATTTTACTAGTAAATAAGTAAGGTTACTTAAGTTGACGATAATTGAGATGTTTTTGTACGTTTTCACTAGGAAATACTCGCAATTCGGGATAAGAATGCCAGCCAAGGCGGTTTTTGGACAGCGTGTTTTCGTTTTCCCCTGTTACTTATGTTACTTTTTGGACCATTTAACTTGAAACTTGGAAATCGTTTACTTAAATAATTCAGGACGGGCCCATACAAAACTTGATTAATTTCAGGATCAAATTATCAGTGACGTTGAAAAGTATCATCTATATATTATCTCATAAGTTGTATAAAAAAGCTTAACCAAGAAAATGTTGATACTCCGTCATCATTTCATAATGTGGAGAAGTAATTAACAACCTACTAAACATTTTAGATGTGTATCTTTTAACTAACGAAAATAGGAGAAATATACGAAAAAGGTTCTATTTTGGTGCTCATTATTCTAAGGGAGGCTGGGCATTGTGCATAATGAGCTCCTCTACATGCCGACTTTCAATTTTCCGTGAACATATTTCAATATTGTTTTCGTCAGCAGTGCTTCAACTAGTCAAAGTGGTCAATAACTGATATAAACACAACGAAACATTCAGCATCCAATCCATATTGACTTTGTACACAATGTTTTGCTCAAGGACAGTCTTAGTTAAATTTAGGTAACTCATAAACTGTAACCCTACTACTAATATAACTAATATAATTAATGGCACGTGAAAGAAGCTATTCAGTGTATGATTAACAATAAGCTGATATGCAAGATAAGATATGAAATGGAATTTAATACGACTGCTCAGTATTTTTTTATCACTGGTTAAACTTTAATATGTAAATGGGGAAAACTTTATGACCGTGTAAATTTAGTCAAAGTTATAGGCGGTTCTTTATGGCCTGGATGAATAATTGAACCACATGTTTCAACTGAATACACTGATATACAAAAAGTTATGTTAATTTGATAAAGGATAGTTTAGTTTAAAAATGGCGAAAACAATTTGTAAACTTTTGGCGACGACAGAAAGCAATTTCACACTAAGTAACCCCGATTGGCGTCTGGTATATAGGTCAGCGCAAATTAAAGGGCAGGTAGGATTAAATGATGAAACGCAGAGCGCTACATTTTTATGTTCTGTCACGAACACACTAGTGTTGTTTATCCTTGTGATCTTTCATGACTGTAGTTGAAAAAGTTAATAGGTTTATCATATTTGATGACGATATGAGTTGCTGTGACAACTATATCATGATTGTAACAAATGCACGTTAAAACTGCAAACAACATGTATCCGGGTTATAATTGTATGAATTAGTTCTAACTTCAATATATAATTTACTAGCGGAGCACCCGTCCTTCGTACGGGGTTGGCATATAAGTATAAAATGCTTATTGCAGTTATACTCAAGCTTTGCGTTTGCAATGGGGGAGGACACAGTTTGATAAAATTTGGTTCATAAATTTAGGTATGATATAGTGTAACACATCTGTCATAATGTTCTACTACTGCACCTTAACAATAGAAAAAAATAAATTATCAAACATTCGCACAATATCACAAATTATTCGTTAAATTAAAATCTCAAACCTAACTATAAACAATCCTACCTTGACAGGTCTCATTTTGTATCACAGCGTTTTGTTGCTGCTTAGTTCAAATTAGCTGTTTAATAATATGCAAAAACAAAATAATAATAGTGCTACACCCTGTTGGGAAACCTTATAACTTTTTAATAGTATTGCATATTATAGAACCAACTTGTAAAGTTGAAACAGCTGACTAAATTCTTTAATTCCCATTAAATATGAATACTCATAAGGTTATCATGGGGAAATATAGAGCCACTGGGGTGGAGCCCGAAAGGATTTTTGAGATAAGAATATGCCTTAATGTTAATCGAGAATGTAAGCTATCATCATGCCAAATTTCAGCCCAATCCGTCCAGTAGTTTATGCGTGATTGAGCAACACACACACACACAAACTCACAAACTTTCAGATTTATAATATTAGTAAGATAATGGCAGAAGTTGTCATGCATTTGTATTCTAGTTGTGTATATTTAAATTCAATTGTAGAGTATAGGCAGTTTATAAAGTCTTATACAATAACTGTAAATTTCGATAACTTTATATTATCCATCGTCAGAATTGCAAAAGTTCAAAATATCTGCCCTAAACGACAGTTGAATCAGAGAATCACGTTTTCTCTAGTAATGTAGGTGGTGTTGAATAATTTAATGGTGTCTAGTAATGTTGGTGTATGTAAATTAGGTGGTGTCTAGCAGTTTAGGCAGTGTTGACTAGTAATGTAGATGGTGTCTAGTCTATGTGTTGACTACTAATACATGTGGTATCTAGTAATCCAGGTGTTTACTAGTAATGTAGATCGTATCTAGTACTCTAGGTGTTGGTTGACTAGCAATGTAGGTGGTGTCTAATTCTAGTACTGACTAAAAATCAAGTGTTGACTATTATACTAGGGGGTTGACTTAATCCCGTTATGGACTGGGCAGTCTAGAATAAAATAGTAAAAGTAAAATATTATCATAAAAGGCTTTAGATATAACAATAGGATACAAAATGTACACTTCTTCTTGTTGAAGTATCCAAAATCGATGATAAATTTTAAGGTAGGCCTACTGTATAATCAAATACATGTTGAGTAGTTTGTCCTGTAAACGAAAAGCCATCAAGTCCCAAACCTATATTGTAATTTTATTACTGTTTTCACGAAAATATATTTACTTATTTACTTCTCTGTGGTAGGTGTAGTAACCACGGCTAATATAAATTGCTTTTAGATACGTCTTTTAATCATAATCGCCAGTGACAGTGGTGTCTGTGACAATGTCGCGACACGCTACGAAGCTATATTGATCTAGGTCACCTGTTGCGCCTTGACAGCGTTACCATAGCAACAGTACCGACCTGCAATTGCTTGCTAATTGCTCATAAGGCTCTATGAATATTCTGATTTTTTCAGACGAAAATCTGTGTGTATTTTCATATTGTTTAATCTCAAGCTAGGTGGAAATCCAACGGTTCTGTTAAAAGTTATGTGTAACTGCGTAGACCCACGCCTTTTAACACAGAAACTATTAAGATTAAGTAATAGATAAATCCTTAGAATCAGCCTCCTTCTAAGGAATTTCGCTCTTAGGTAACAAAGCAGAACTATTGTGTCACGATTGACTTGTAGATTTTAGCTAGGCTTGTATTGTGTGTAGCTTGTGTGGTGCTGTTAAAATTGGATAGGTACCATTCAACTATAAAGTATATAAGTTTAATTAATAACTTATTAACCCGGTATTATATGATGTATAGTATATGAATATATGATAGTATTCATATTTATTCATTTCAAAATCCCTGAAGAAAATATGAACACATATTGTTAGGGGAAAAGTTCAATTTCGTATATTTTATTCCCTCTCAAACTCTGTCTCGCCAATACCACTTCCTGTGAATATCAAATTTTACCTTATAACACTGATTGAACAATACAGACACTTCACTTACAAAATTACGTCACTAACCCCAATTAGAAAGACTCGAGTTATTGAACATCCCATTTGTGCAAAAACAAAATATTAATATGAGATTAAATTTGTTATGGTTTTTTTTTTAATGACAAGAGATGGGACATTTATTTATTTATGCTCAGATATAAATAAGATCAAACTAACTGAAATTCTAGAAGAAATAGGGTTAGAAAGGACACCGAGGTTTAAAGTTCGTCCTAATAATAAACTTGCTACATTTAATTTGCAAGTATTCCAGTAAAACTTATCAGTGGTTTAAACAAATTCATAACAACTGTACCTCACAGAAATAGTCTTACTACCTGCTGTTAATTTTAACGAACTATCTTAAATATGGATCCGATAAGTAAAAATATTGAAGGGCTCTTATTTGCTATGCAAATCAAAATAAACAGTTTTGTCTGTACTTAACCATACATTGACATTCATGTTTTGTTTGTTTTCAAATCTTCCACAGCAGGTGCTAAAATGTGCATACTCCCCCTTTATATCTGTTTCTTTGTTTTAGCGCTCTCGTACGTTAAAAATAGTCTGAGGCTACTTTTAAGTGATATTTATCCATTGCAATCGGGAAAGTGTTTCAAAGCAAGCAAGACTTTTTAATGGCCACATTTAACCATAAAACTGCGGCCTGGTTTAAAGGGGAAATAAATAGGCCATACACATGGTCACATTTTCGTCATTGCTACTTAGTAGAGCGGTGTCATATTGCTAAAGCTGATTTTCAGCCTCGTTCAGATGGTCACCTCCAGAGCAGTCGGGGCACTTCTACACTAGGTTAACAGCAATATTACACTCTTGAGACCGCGATTTTGTACGTTACAAAACCTAATCTGGTGTGATTTGAATATATTTTTGCATCAAACGGATTTAACGAATATGACCAGTGTAACAATCTGATTTGTATACATACCCTGACAGGTTTTAGGATGCTTACATTTTCATAGTAGAATTATCTTTCTAAAAATCCCCTTTCATCTTATTGGGGAAAGTTATTGTTTTTGCTTACCCGTATTTTTAATATAAAAAGTGGAATAACCAGGTGTTCAGTCAAGTTGGCTTAATAGTTACGTTCACATTCAAGAAATGAAGATACAGAAGTAAAACATAATTCCTCTATTTGGTAATATAATAATATTACAGAGAGGTTAGAAAACTAATTTGAATGACTTCCAGTCGAGGCCTAACTGGGAGAGCCAAGCGAGACCTAGACCTGGACCCAGAGGAGCTCCTTGCAATACTGTCATACTGGGAGAACGAGCGACGCAACAAGCTCCAGGCCAGCAGGTCTGTTTAGTCATTGGAATTAGTAAGCTTACTTGGGAATTAGAGTGGATATAATGCCCACTTAGCAATCAGAGGGTTGCCTGTTCGAAAACTGTCAAAAACTGTCAAAAAACTGTCAAAGTGTTAAACTGTACCCAGCTGTACTTAATTATTGGGTTTCTAACACATGGTTAATGGCTACAGAACCAGTTGATCTTGGGGTGTAGCAAAGCTATCATTTTATTAACCCAACACCACTCATCCTCACTCATATTTGGGTTAAAATACGCATCTAGGTGGTATGTCTCCATCTAAAATAATTGATAATTGATTAAGAAAAATAAATAAAAATTACAGCTATAGGGTTAAAATGGGGGAATCAAAATTAAACACAGACTTATTGCACCTTAGCCAATTGGTTAAGGATATATTGATGAAGACAATTTTTTCAGTTATAAACCTAACCTTGGGTTTAACTAACCTAGATTATTGTGCCTTGCCAAGTGATCCTGGGTAAATATTCTGTTATTTTTATCATAAACAAACATGTTCAACACATACATTATTAATTTTACCTACGACCATCTTTTAAAGCAGCCGTTTCAGTTCAGTTCTTAAAATTGAAAAGTTTTACATAACAGCATTGTTTACTTACATAACAGCATAGTTTTACAACACGGATGACAGACCAATGAGGTTCAATAATAGAGAGAGAAGTAAAATTGTAATGCTTCGAATTTCAGCTAATCAGCTGTTCACCAATTTAATTGTTAACGATTGCTGCAATTAGTGATTTGTTGAGTCGTTGCATCAATGTCAGTGGCAATGAGAGGTTATAAACGAAAAAATAACCTTTCTTAGATGTTTTGAGTAGTGATTATTAGTAATTAAAAACCCGGTCGTAGGTAAAGTAGTGTACGCAACTCGCGTAGCAAGGCTCGTACCTTAAATTTTCTACTCGTGTCGTTAACACTATTTACGCGAGTCGCGTACACTACCTGCGACAGGGTTTTAATTACTAAAAATCACTACTCATAACTTCTAAGAGAGGTTATGTTTTCGTTTATAACCTCCCATTGCAGTTGCCAACTTGGTACTTTGAGAGAGCTTTGCCTATCCTGGCAGTGATGCAACGAAACGTAGTACCAAACATACTAATTGCTTGCACCACTCAACAATCAACTTGGCCTAAACAGCTGATATAGTAGTTGGAGTTCGAATCGAATCATTACAATTTTACTTCTCTCTCAATCCTAGAACCTCGTTGGTCCGTTACCCGTGTTGTTTTGAGTATATAAGACTATGTTGTTATGAAAGTAAACAATGCTGTTATGTGAAACCTTTCAATTCTAAGTCTAAGAACTGAACTGAAACGGCCTCTTTAAAAAAAAAAAACGGTTCTTGGTAAATAGTGTTTACACTATCTTTATGTGATATTTGCATAAACTATTATAACAATTTACGTTTACCATAAATTGTGGCACCAATAAACATATTTTAAAATGTCTCAGGAACATGTACAACAAGTATCCAGTGGACAATGAAGATTTAGAGATGCTTGAAAACAGTGAATCTGGAAATGAGCTGGGAGACAGTGAAGAACCTAGACAAGGTCAGATAAGTATTTAAATCATTGTCAGTAGGTAATACCATAGATGAAACCATAGACAAATAGAATAAATATAGACTGTCAAAGGAAGGTTCCGGCACCCACCGCTAGGAGTGCCGTGTAGTTGCGGGCTAGGAGCGCAGGAGCCGTATGCCGTAACTACACCGCAAACCTAGCGGTGGACGCCAGAACTTACGCTAACCACAGCACAGCTGACGGTATATTTTTATTCTATTTGTCTGTGATAAAACACACTAGTCTGTGGCAATACCTTGAAACTATGGTCAGATGCATAAATAATTAAAGGTGTAGAATAAACCCATATAATACAAAGAGTTGTATATACTAAAAACTTTTAAAAAATACAACTTTGCAGCCATTACATTTTATCATAGTAATTAAATAGTACAATAACTAAATAACTTAATAAGGGAAAAATAGTTTTGTGTACAAAAGCTTTGACTATTGATAACAAGTTATAGTTTCATTCAATGAATGGCTTTGTTTTTTGCTCAACAGTAGTTTACTTAATGTTAATAATGTTTACACTTCAGGTTTGCATAGCCAATGAGTTTACATAACTGTTGATAGAACTAATCTAGAACCAGGAAGCTAGCCTTGAGCATTTTTATCATAACAATATAATTGACAAGACAAATTATGTAACTGTAGGTGTACACTTAACAATTACGAAGAAATTGGCTATAAGCAAAGACTTTAATTTGTAAACATGTTTTTTAGAAAACTCTCTTATCCTGTAGAGGCAAACTTCAACTTTAATACTATCCATTGATGGAGACAAATTCAAACCCCTTTTGGTATGAAAAAGCATCTATGTAAACAAATAAATTCTAGCTTAAAATTGTGGTTTAAAATTATAGAGAACTGTTTTTCTCTATAATTTTAAATCACAATTTTTCTTATAGTATACTGAGTATCCTGTAAGTAAACAACCAAATTCCAGGATGTTTCCATGAGTCAAAACAAAACCAAGGATTAATTTTCCTCCCATAATCTATATCTGCCATTTGGTATGTATTTACATTAACACTTTTATCTTTGAATTATTGTTCCAATGATCTTTATGGAGCTTGATGTGTATGTTAAGGTAGAAGAGACACTATGTTGGAAAAAACTATCTTGGTTAAACAACACAACATGAAGTATCTTGTTTCCATTCAAAATTTCAAAATGGCGACCATTAATTTGTTTAATTTCAATTATATAATATTGCTGATTTTATAAAAAAAAGTGTTATGAAATGTTAGATGCCCTTTCAACTTAATTCTTAAACTTGCTTACAGCTGGTCCACATAAGTGGGATGTCTATCTCGGTACTCCAAGTCATAGTCAAAGTTTACCAGTACTGTAGTCGTAGGTTTTCAATGTGGGAATGCTCACCATTTTCGCAAAAAAATACAGGCTGCTTAACAATATAGAAGTTCTTTGGAAAAAAGAACATTCCCATGTGTTTCCGCCCCAATGCACCACTGATGTTTACCTCCAGATGAGTTGTTACAGATGGGTGGTATGATGGCCCAGTAGCTCTTCCCTCTCATCACTTCGCTGCAGGTCCTCGCACGGAGATGTGGCCTCGCCAGTATTCTGACGACCGTCGGAAACGATTCATGGTTTCCAAGAGACGACCCCAGGTAAATGAAATTGTTTCATTGGCACAATGAGAATATGTCATGGTGGAAGGAGAAGACTTAATTGTGCTATTCTCGTCATATGCTGAAGTCACCCAGATTGCAAACAAAAAATCAGCTGATTGTATTGCCATAAGTGTATATTTGTTTTGATTTGGTTGTTATTGTTTTTATAATCCTTATATATAATACGTGAAGGCGATTTCTACAAAACACTACTCCTCCATTAATAATTGACGGATTTTTACAAACGAGGTGTTAAAATTAAGTATTTTTTGTGTAGAGTTTTTACAAATTCCTTTAATAAAAGTCTTCGGGCTTTGCCCCACAGGCCATCAAAATCCCAATGTATTTCTTATGAAAAAAAATTTTGTTTGCTTAAACAGACAAATAATTTGTTTTCATTTCTGTTGTTTTTTTGCCTCCTGATCACAAATATTAATTAATCTAGAGGTTAAAATACCTTTAATCCGTCAATGTGATCAATGTCACCGATGAGCGGCGACCGGTTTCAGCCCAGCTGTGGGGCCATCATCAGGCGATGAAGGAACATAAATATCACTCCGAAGAGGTCGTCATAAAGTCTATACATACGTCACGAGAAACAACACATAGATACATTATTTACAAACACACGTGTGGCCACAAATTAACTGCGCGGCGGACGGTACGCGTACATTAAGTTGCTAGTCCAGACTCAACTGGACTAGCAACTTAATGTACGCGTACCGTCCGCCGCGCAGTTAATTTGTGGCCACACGTGTGTTTGTAAATAATGTATCTATGTGTTGTTTCTCGTGACGTATGTATAGACTTTATGACGACCTCTTCGGAGTGATATTTATGTTCCTTCATCGCCTGATGATGGCCCCACAGCTGGGCTGAAACCGGTCGCCGCTCATCGGTGACATTGATCACATTGACGGATTAAAGGTATTTTAACCTCTAGATTAATTAAATAATTTGTATTAATTACAGCTGTTCATAGTAAACACATGATACAAAAGTGTTCGTTTTAAGAGTGAGTTCGTTTTCAGTTTCGATAGATGGAGTGGAGTTAGCGTTCGTTTTCAGAGTGAGTTCGTTTCCAGTTTCGATAACTGGAGTGGAATGATTGATTACACACAATGCGTCAAAATTAAGTACTTTTTGTGTAGTAAAAATCCCTTTCAACAATTCATGTAATAAAAGTTCTCGGGCTTTGCCCCACAGGCCATCAAAATCCCAATGTATTTATCATGAAAAAATTTACTAACCCAGCTGTTACCCTTCGTTTTGCTATTTAATTAATTTTTTTTACTATGAAGTTTTGTTTCTTGGTGCCATGTGGTCAATGAATTAGACTTTCACGTATATTTTAAATGGAATACACTACATAAAGTGATGGTAATACATTAGGAAATCTGCATTTAGCTAATCAATAAGTATGATTGAGCTTTGCATATGTTTCATGGTAAGTGTTTTGTAACTGTTTCTTAATAGTAGGTTTAAAAACCCGAATTATTCTTTTCTGTATTCTCACCCCTTAGCGAAGCACGGGCAGAGCAACTAGTTTTGTCTAAATGGTGAAATGGTGTTTCCAATCTGGGTGACGTCAGCATATGACAGGAATAGCACACCTATGTCCTTCCACCATGAGAATGTGTGTTGGTATTCTCATTAGGCTGAACACAAATTTATCATAAACTTCCATTTAGGACATTTTAAGATTATATGATGTGAAGTTTTTGGGTCAGTTGGTAGCAAGAGCAAGACAAATCTTGTGTAGATGGCAGTGATGTTGTGATTTGTTTCTCAGTGCACGCCTTTCTGCAAAATCTGAGGGAGGTATAGCTGGTTCGGTTTTAAGTTAGTTATGGCTCTGGATTCATTTGCTGTACCGTACTTGTCATTGGGCTATAAGTTTAAGACGCTATCTAACAAAATTTTGCCATGAGATACTAAAGCGAGCCAGTGTTTGGACTACTTTCTCACAAAAAAAAAAACAAAATAAAATAGCTTTTACCAATGCCGATACTACAGTACTAGATATATTACATAGGACTTTTAACTTTCAACTTCAACACTTATCCTGTTTCTGATAGACCTTTTAGACAAATGCTAGGTTATCTCGAAAAAAATAAAATACACTAAAAAAGAGGGATTACTTAACACTATAATTTAATTTCAATGAATTAAATTTTATATATAACCATTCCCATTCGCACTCACACTTTAGTTTCTCCATGAAATCATTGATGTATGTGAGGTATTTAGTGTAAAGATCTAATTTAAGTTGAATTTCTGAAAATATACACATTCTATTAAAAAAATTTGCTCACCCCATAGTCTAAAGCTTAAACAACACCTAACAGCTGATCGGTCTGCCTAGTTGGTCCTTCCGAAAAGTCCTATAAGGGTTACTCTCCAGTTTCTGTGCACCAAAATGCACAGAAAGTTAACGTTATGTAATTTTGCCGTGCAGTCGCAGGAATAACCTTTTTTTTAACCCATTTTACGTTTAGAAAGTGTACTTTCGTGTGTAATGAAAAGCAACTTTTTGTAAACTATAAACATGCTTTATCCAGCCTTACAGCTAGTAAATAATTATAAATGAGAAATATGATCCATCAAAAGTGTTGATAATACAGTACAATCTGTTAACAGGAAGGGGATATGTACTCTCTTGCACAATTATTAAACGCACCACAGCGTGACATCGCTGCCCCAGTGTTTCGTCGTTATGTTCTCTGAACTATGGTAAATTACTAAAAATTATAATTTTAAGTAGGTTGGTAGATTTAGTTGTCTTGGAATACTTGTGTTAAAATATTTACAGCATTTGGAGACAACATGCATTTTATCATGTTTCTCCCAAGTACTTAGAAGAAGTCTGTGTCTTTATTTAAACAAAAATAAATAGAAGCAATGGATGGGGAAACTGTCCCTTGATATTATAAATTTGAAATATTATTGTTATTTCTGTAATATAACACTTTTCCAAGATTTGCTTTAGTTTCAGTGAGTAGGATTCTGTCTTCAAGATTGAAAAAATCAGTAAAATTTTTTGGGAATCCACTTAGTTTTATTTGGTATTAAATATCCAAATAATCGCCTATTTAGACAATCTCACACTTGAGGACCACCATGTTCACAATGGACATAAAAGAAATTTACATGGGATAAAAAAATCCTATAGTAACAAAAGACAATGGTTAAGAATGGTTGTTAAAATTAAACAAAATAACATTAGTCATACCATTCTCCACTTACTTTATAATTTACTTGCATCTTTGTTTCAGATGTAAACAATGTACAGCTTTAAAGAAGAGTTATCGTCTATGATAAACATAACTAATATCTTGTAATTCAGGGTCCTAATGAATACATGTTATAATCGTGAATATAACAATGGATGTTTGTTTAGTGTATCTCTATATATTTTATCAAATTTAATATATCAATAAACTGTGATCCTTTATTTTGAAATGGCATAATTATTTACAATCCTCTAAACATAATAGTTTTGAGCAAATAACATTCCCCTTGTTATTGTAAGTGTTTGATGTTTGTTTGGACCAGAAACAATGAGTACATTGTGAAAACAGAGTTGATTTTCATTTGTTTTTTAAGTCAACCATTTATGCACAAAGAGCGGGAGCGGGAGTGGCTTTCAACACCATTGAGTTAAATGAGACTGTTAAGTCACAAAGAGCGGGAGCGGTGGCGGTTGTCCTCCCACGGCAGTTTCTAATTCAACCCCTGTGTAGTTAGAAATCGCAGTGGTTGAGAGTGAGCGGTTTTTAACTACAATGAGTCAAATGAGACTGTTTAGAATATAGGTGTGCCGTTGGAGCTGGAGCTGTTTTAACGGAGCGCTCTGCGCATGGAGCAGAGCTGGAGCAGCTCTTAACAGCTCCTCGCTCCGACACAGCTCACAAGAAAAACAGCCTCTACTGCTATCGGAGCGGCCAGAAAACTGACGTCGCTGGTAGCTCCCCATAATACCGCTCCAGCTTGGTGAATTATTATATTTGAATTTGGCAATCCATGACTCCAAGGAGTAAATCGTCTGGGTCAGAAATAGAGTGCATTTATTTAGTCTAAGGCCCCTTTTACTCTGCAACGTGCCGCACGCCACTGCGTTCAACGGCCCTGTAAGTGCATTGAGTTAAATGGGTGTTTTTATACTCTGTGGCAGCCACCGGAGTAACCGAAGCGGCAGCCGGAGCTGGAGCTGTTCATGGAGCTAGCTCCACAACAGGAGCTGGAGCTATTGGAGCGGCTCTGCTTCCGGAGCTACTAAGGCACACCTCTACTTTAGACTAGGCGGGAGGGGGAGTGGCTGCAGCTAGGGTTGCCAACTTGGCTGTGTCCTCCACTCTGTTCGCCTTTGACCGACTGTTACAGTTATCGCTGGCACAATTTGGCAGAATTTTCTCGTGGATAAACGCAGCCTAAAGTGTTATTATTTGGCAGATTATTTCATACATCTATAAAACTTCATGGTTGTGCTCGGTTAGAAATCATTTGGCTTTTTCTCATAATAACACAAAATGTAACTGGCATAAGTTATGAGGATTTTCATTTAATTGGCAACAAACCTTTATTAACAATGCTTTAACTTACCCGCAATGTACCTATTTATTATCATTTGATGTTGGTTTTAGTAACCAAATAATGAAACAAAATGTTTTATGATCTTTAGCCACATGGCTTGTTTTAATAACATTTTTGAAAAAGTATAAAACCACTGGGTTGTATTATAAGAAATATACCTGATAAGGTTGGTTAAGGGAATTTGTTAGTTAGCAATGAGATATATGATTTCTCAGCGCCAATGCATGACTGATCTTCCAACTTCTTTCTTCATTTTCCACCTATAGTCTTCTCGGAAGTACAAGTATCTATCTACATTGGTAATAATTGAAATAAACTGAAAAGGGCACATAGAATAAACAGTCTCAGGGGGGTTCCTTGAACTTCTTGAAGAAAATTAATAATGGCAAACAAAGCATACTTCCCATCTCAAGGGATGTAAATTATAAGTCACCCACCAAATGTCTTGAGTCAGAAAGGAAGAACTACTAAACAAATTTTTGTACATTGTGTATGATTAAAATTAGTTGTCATTTAATCGGAGAGTAGTCTAAAATAATAAATGTCAAACCAAACTTAAATCTTACATTAGTCGTGGTACCAAAAGAAATATAATCTTGGTACCTGAAAAACTAGAACAAAACAAGCATAATGCTTTTGAAAGTTGTAAACGTTTACCTCTGCTGTTTAAATTCTGGAATGGTTTTTCAAAACCCACTACCATTACAATTAATTTTGTTATCAATAATTACTCTTCTAAATTTATTTAGGCTACATAAAAATACTGATTCAGAAACTAAACATTAAATAAGTAGAACATTATTTCCAAACAATTTTTTACATAGTTTTGTGTTCATCCTAATATTTGTTAACTTAATTACCACGTTTGTGTAAGTTACACCAGTTTTGTTAGTGATAAGACATTATCTCTCTCAAGTTTGTCAGCGAAGGCCGGTGGTCACCTATTTACTGATTGAAGCAGGAAAGGTAAAGTCAGTACCTGAATGTCATTGCCATGAAGCTATACCACTTGTGCTTTTTGTTTGCTCTGCTTTTCCAATTGAGTACAAGTAAGTAAAATAAGATTACTAAACTAAATTAATATTAACTATATATTTTCAAAACTAGAATGAAAAGACCTTGAAAGAATGAAAATTTGCACTAAGGTACAATGTTTTAACATAAGGAATATTAGCTGAAAATCTTAAAAGTCTACAGATTCAACACATTATTGCAGTTAATCTCTAAGTTATTTTTGCCTTTTGAATCCCCAAAATACTACAGGTTGGTTCTACAGGAATTTTAGTTCTTAATGTTCAACCTTAAAGAAGTTATTATGGTTTCAGTTTTATAAAATTAAAATTACAGTTCATATTAATTAAATTGTTCTTAGCATACATTTAAAGTAACTGGCTGTTAAGTAGCTGTTTTAGCTTTAGAAGTTTCAGATTTTAAAACTCAAGTTTAATAGTTAATAAATAAATAATTAATTTAATAATAACTATAACTTTAAACAGAGACAATCTACTTAAAACAAAAGTAAAATTTAATAATTAGGTTACTTTAATTATTTACTTGCTTTAGCTGTTTACTTTAGTTTTTTTCTTTGTATTAACATTACAAGATATTTGCTTAGTGAAAAAGAAAGATTAAATATTGCAAATTGAGGTAACAGACCAAAAGTGCACATGAAATGTAATATTTGTTTAGTAAAATAGTGGTGAAAGTATTGATGTTTTGTCAGCTTAATTTCTAATTCAAATCTTTTATAAATTTAATGCTGGAAACTACTTGATAAATTAAAAAAAAAACAAGATATTATTATTGATGATATACAAACAAGAGTGTACCAAAAAAATATAAAAAATTGTTATAGTTCAGACTGTTTTTCACATGAAGCGGTACACGGTTGGCAATATTCATTGCATCCGCCACTCAGTCTGTGATAGCAAAAAGTTTGCAGACCGTTGTAAAAGTTATTATAGTATTGATTATAAATAATAAGAGCTATATGGCCTCTGATGGCTAACAAATTCCAAACACATTATCCAATAATTGTTTTATACATCGCTTCTACCTTGCCTATTACAAAAGTCGTTAATTGCTTAGATACTCCAGCTTGTCAATAGTTTAGATTAGTGTTAGTGTGAATTGCTAACATTTTATCATAGGTGGTGGTCACTCCAGCTTGTATATCCTCAATGATAAAAAATACATAGAAAATTTGTAATTTAAAATGATTTCTGTAGGTGAATCCTTCATAGTAACTGCTGAAGATGACGACTCTAAACAATCCCTAGAGACCAGCGATATTTCCCCCTCTTTAAGGGAGTCAAATTATCTACCTCTGAACAGAGCAGAAAATTCTCAAGAAATTCAGACTAGACAGCTTCTAGGTGGTCTTCTAGGAGGAGGTGGCCAAGGGGGCGGAGGACAGGGAGGAGATGTTGGTGGAGGACAAGGTGGTGGATTGTTGGGAGGGCTTCTCGGAGGTGGGGGAGGGGGTGGAGGTCTTCTGAGCGGTGTTTCGGGGTTGCTTGGAGGTCTTTTACAACCTTTACTGGGGAGAAAGAAAAGATCTCCTCTAAGTGAAGAAACAATCAAATTCAGAACAAGAAGAGGAGCTGATGAATCACTCAACGTACCTGAAAACACAATCCGAGAAAAGGAGAAGAAACAGAATACTGAAGATGTAGAAATTCATTCAAAAAATTCAGATGATTCTAATCAGGGTGAAAGTAGTGAGGAAACAAAATCAAGAACTGTTCAGGAAAATTTAGAAAATGAGGAAAGTGGAGAGGGTTATAATGTAAAATCAACTGAATTGGATACAGAAGACATAGATGCAAATAAAAATGCAGAACATCAAAAAACTAAAAGAGATGGTGAAGATCCTAAAGTAAGAACTACGGCTGAAAACCTAGAAAACAGTGTTATGGATAACCACAACGCAGATTACGTGAAGACTACTAGACAGTTTAGTAGGAGTTATTTTCAGAAAAAGGTTAATGAAAAGGAAACAATGGGATCTAGTGACGTGGATGAAGAGGATAAAAATGATAATGAAGAGAAAGTTGTTGATGGCTTGAGTGAAAGTAAAAAAACAGAGTCAAACAGGATAAAAGATGAAAAGGAAAAAATAAAATCTGATATCATAAATAGTGAAGGTTTTATTTACAAGGAAAACGGCAGAATTGATACTATTGAGCTAAATAAAAAATCCTTTAACAATGATGATAGCAAAGCTATGTATATTAAATATAGTGAAGACAATATGGAACCCACCAGTGATACAAATAACAAAAATCTCAAAATGAACCAAGATGGTGACTTTGACGAAACAAACAATCAAGAATCTGAAAGACCTGATGGTGAACAAAAGGAAAATAAAGATGACCTTTTGAACACCGTTGAAACTGACAGCAAAGCCAATGATATTAGAAATATATATACTAAAAAAGCGGACCAGAATGATGTAAAACGCTCACATAGTGAGATCGGTGAAAATTATGACACAGGTGAGGAATATTCAGAGAAAAAATATTCAGCAGAAAATAAAGATGGAAACAGCATTGAGCAAAGAGAAACTGTAAATGACTCATCTTCAAATAAAAGGGATGATCAAGATGAAGACTACCCTGACTACAGTTCTTATGAAAACACAGAAGCCAGCAAAAGACAATCTGAAGAGGAAAGTTCTAATGACTCCAGCTCTTCAGAATCAAGAGAAACTTCACCAAGAAGATACATACATCCTCTCTTCCCTTACACAGTTCAATATAACATGGCTGATGTGTATAGAAGTAGTATTAAAAGAATGTACTTGCCAATGGTTTACCAACATCCTCGCCAAATACTATACAGAAGACATCCAAAGTTTCGACTCAAAAGAAGTGTTTTGCCAGCTCAGGCAAGACAGCTGGAAATGCCTTATTTAATGAACCGATATCCCACTTCAGTGGCGGGTTCAAATCTTTTTGGAACTTATGCAAATGCACACAGCGGCAATCCTCTTGGAGGGGAAGAGTTTGGCGAAGAAGAAATGGGGGAAGAAGAACAATTTGGGAGAAGATGAAACACATTGTACCTTTTGCCAGGTACTTAATCAGAGTAATGTTTTTTTAATCTGTAACAAAGATTATTTTGTGTTTTGTTTTAGTACGTTTTCAGTTGGTAATATCATAAGAAGTAGTCCTGTTAGACATTTTAAAAGTTAGATTTCCGGAAAGAAATTTTTAACATTTTTCAAGTAGGGCCACATTTGTTTCTTACAAGAAAATAATAAAAACATGAGTTGTATTCATGTATAATGTGTGTTTTAAACACTCCACCAAAAAAAGGCATTGTATAGAGTTTAAAAGATGGAAAATCTTTATATCTTTAGTGATGTTTTAAAACACTCAATACAAGACTTCTGTTTTACTTTGACACTTTCAGTAAAATATCCTCTGAAATTAATGAGGATGAATTATGTAAGTAAATTAACACAAGATAGTTTACATGTGTGTCCTTGATGGTTATTTCCTTCATTTTATTATATTTATTTAGTAGTAGCAACTTCTTTGAAGAGTTCTTAACTAAACAATGAACCTGAGTTTATTCACTTAGGTTCTCATTATGTTGTAATTATGTCTTTTAGCTTCTATTTGTTTCTATAAGTTTTAATTTCCAATGCTTTTAGAATAAAATAAATATAAAAACTGTTTATTGCTTTATTTTGTTTCCACACCACAACATTTTTGAAACCCAATTTTCTTGACTTCAACTTTAATTTTATAGACACCAGACATAGGTACATTACTGATACAAACAACATTAGGTAAGTGTATTAATAAAGCATACAATCGTTAGATTTAAAGAGAGTTTCTGTTATACCACAGACGCAAGGTTACATAGTAGATGATCTCTACCAAACTCATGATGCTGAAACCACTGAACAAACCTAGAAGTCCACCACACTGGCCTGAAAAAAAATCAAGACTGATTAAAGTACTGGTATAAAAACAATTGGTTTCTTAGATCCACTAGTGAAATTTTACTTTTAAAATTTTAGAATGAAGGCCTAAATACAAAGTAAATTAATATTCTTTTCAAGTGTAAATTAACGTATTGGTTGTATCTATGCCGTTGACTTTGGTTAGTGTTAAGTAGACATCTCATACCACGTCAGCGTTATCATTAATTTACTCTACAAAACAGAATATAATAAAATATGTAGGTGGCGTCCCCATCTCGATTTATAACATCCACCATATTTTAGTAACAAATAAATAGTATAACATACGCTTGCATTGGTTAGGAAACGATACATTTGGCCCATAGTACTAGCAATAGAATTATAAGCACTTACTTAAAAAATCTGCATATCCAATCAGTTCTCTCCTTCGACTTGTAATGAATTGTGATTCTTTAAAATATATTGACACCCGTGATAGTCTTACCCTGAAAAAAGGATGGAGCATTTAAAGTAAATTTTTGTTTTCAGCAATTTACATGGTTTATTTAAATTTTAACACTCAAGCCGCAAAAAGGGTTGGCTGCTCAACACAATTTCATTTGTATTTAAATTTCTCAATTTCTAGATCTCTTTATACCTAACAAAACAGGGTACTTCTATTCTCATAAATAGTGGCATGGGCTATTAAATATCATAAGTAGCCAACCGTTTAAACAGTTCAGTTTTGTTTGCCGCTGTATTATGTTAAAATAGTTAGGACTACATACTGTGATTACTAAAAATCCATCTGACAGAGATTTTAGGTAGCTGCACAATATTCTCTGTTTTAAAGTATTGCAATTAATATACTCAGCTCTTAAGGTCCAATTCCTATGTGGCGACTGATAAAACTAGAGACTCGGCTTAATTCCTATGCTGTGACTCCTGCGACTGCCGCGACTAGTGACTAGTGCAGTTGCACTCTTGACCGTCATGGAATAAGCACAGTTGGCAGCAAATATATTACTTGGAGAAGAGGAGGGAAAGGAAATAATAATGTGCCTGGTAAAAAACAATGACCAATCTAATACATTGTTCATGGTACGGTGAAAAGAGGGGTTTCAGAGTATTCTTATTCAGAAACATCTTCTTCAAGTATTCGGGGTGCTTGGGGTTGAAAACGTGTAAGTGGTAACGAACCAGCTCCGTCAACTTTGAATCATCTATGAAAGTACACACCTCAAACTCCGTATATATAAACTATAAATTTGTAACAGTCGCAGGTTAGGAATTGGACCTTTAGTGTTCAAAGAAGGTGATATAACCTCATAAAAAACTGTGGACACAGAAAATGTACTTAACACTAATCTAGCTGTCCAGTTTATCTAAGTCCATGGCTTATCTAAGTTGAGCATAGAGTATTCACTTTATAGAGTATTCAGTAGTCACTTGTGACAAGTTGTAAACAAATTATGCGACCTAATTAAGTCTGATTCAGGAAACTTACCCGACAATTTCAGGATCAGTTTCATTTTCTTTATAAGCTCCAAAAACTGCTTTATAATCAAAGGGGGCCTGAGAAGTCTCTGCGTCGTATAGAATTGAAGTACAGGAAGGAAGGCAATTGCATTTTCCTTCAAAATCAAGTTCATGCATTGCCTCTGTTATTTGCTGGATGTTTAAGCTATCTGAAACAAATTGTATAAGGTTTTTTTTAAGTTAAATGTTTGCTGTTATAGTAGTAACTTACTAAATAATAGATATTACTAGCAAACTTGGCACACGCAATCGTGCACAATTTAAACACAGTTTATAAGAGAATAATAATGACATTTGTTGATCCATTCATGGTTCCATAACTATATATAACTTATTGTAATGTAATTACATTTATTACATTATATACAACTTTAAAGAACACTCATTCACAAATTAATAGATTAATAGTGTTATTAAAGCAACTCTTTATAAACAATGTTGCGAGTAAATACTCTATTGTGACCTGCCAATCGTCCTATTGGCTTGTGTCTTTCACGTAGAATCGTAACCCATGCGGCTGGTGGCCACATACAGCATTCCATAGCCAAATACTGGTTCATTTACTACTACTCCAACAAAACCAAGTCCCTGGGATTTGCTGATGGTCATGGCAAACAAAGGAATGACTGGAAATTGCATTCTTTCAAGAGCAAAAGGAAGGAGAAAATTATATGGTCCTAGGAAGTAGTATTTTCTTTCCAGAAGATGAGCCCGTTAATACCTCACATTCAATAGTGTTTCAATACATTCTTTTTACTCGTATACACGTTCCGTTGATCAAGCCTGACGTATCTAGATTCCTGATCAACACAACAACAGCGTTTTCCTTGAGTTTAAGTAGGGCCTATGTGAGGTGAAAGACTGCTGACTGAGAGGCTGTTAAGAAATTCAGTAGGATAACTATTTTGCTCAACGCCGTTTTCCGTTACTATTTTGTCACTGCTTGGATATTGTTGATGTCCAGGAAGATTGTCCATGATTGAGCTATTGATTTTATAGCAGTCTTCATTTTGTGGACACAAAATGGCGCGGTTAATTATGTTGTTGCTCATTATGATTGCATTGATGTTCCTGTAAATATTGGCAACAGGATTGTCCTAGCCGATTAGATGTTGGGGTATCGGAATGACATCTTCTCTGAATTCCGGGTAAGTTTCTAGCGTTCCATCACCGAGACGACCAATAAAACCCATAAATTCATGTTTGGATGGCAGAGCTCTCGTATTCTTTGTTAGTGTGAGCTGCTTAACTTCATGCCATGCTGGGAATTTAACACTGATCTATTGTCCCACTCCTACTGGCATGAGGTACCACTGGCAGGGTTTGTCTAAAGTCACCACCAGTGCAATACAAGTTTTTTATCGATTTATATATTTCTACTGACCTGGTAGGGGGATTTTACAGTAGTAAATTTAAATATACAAAAACAAAATTGTAAAATAGAACAGAATGAACCTAAATCATTATACCTCAGAAATAATAAAATCAATAAATTCACTAAATCAACAATCAATGGGTAAAAATTCTGGGCATTCGGGGGACTTTGGTTCTGGTCAGTCATGTGAAGTGAGGCTGAAATTCAGTCAGGATTATAAATTGAACAATGATTGCTCTTTACAAGCCTTCCCACAAGGCTTAGCTCACTAAACAACACGGATAATGCATCGGTTTTGAGAGTTAAGTTTGAATTTTGTAATGAGTGACAATGTCCTTCAGGTATAAATAAAGGTTTTTGAAGTTTTAACACAGGTCCCAGGGCTAAAATTGTTTTGAATTACATAATATGTTCTAACATAAAAGAGTTGACTCACCAAGAGCATTGATAGTGCAGTTTTTCTGCCCAGCGCCACAAATTTGGGTATTTGCAGAACCTGGAAATTAGTTTGATGGACAAGCCTCATAAAACCTTGGGTAATTTTTCCAAAACTTAGTACAAGTAAACCTTCGATAGTTCGAAACTCGATAGTTCGACACTCCTTGTAGTTCGACACAGGCTGATCTATTTTGTCAAGTGATACTTAATGGTTACTATTGTGATGTAAGCTGACTTGAACATTAATTTGTCATTTATTGTTGACTTTAGACTTAACTAAAGAACAGTGAAATTGTGAAGCTTTTTAGTATTTATACATTTGGGTGATTTCTATATAATACTTGTGTTTTACTTTCCTATATATTAAACTCCATTTACTCCCTATGGTTCGACATTTCGATCGTTAGACATCCCTTAAGTGTCCACAAAGTGTCGAACTATTGAGGTTCTATGACCAGTGCTTTGCTTAATTGTATGAACAATAAAGAGAATAGTTATAGTCATTTGCGGATTTCCTCTTTTTAATAACATCGCATTTTTTGTTGTTCTGAAGTCATACATTCTCTTCTACAAAGTTATCTTCTTTAAAGAATGAAATGAAGTTTGATTTTTGATTATCATGTTTAAAAATCATTTCAACCAATGTGTCAAACCTTAGATGCTAATTGTTTCACGTCCCCATGATGTACTGTGTTGAAGAACTTGTATACAAATGTACTTTACAACACAGTTGAATGAAACCTAAGTAAAAAATATTAACTATAGTAGAAAAATTATTCGGAAATTGAAACTAGTTTGAACTTTATACCAATTACATAATATCACTCCATGTGACTCTATGTGATGTTGTGTGTGTAGTGTAGACGACCTTTATTTTAGGTTTTTTTGTCGTGACACAACCTTATTTCCTAGTATTTTTTAATTATTTTTACTGTAAATTAATAGCTGTCTTAAAAGGATTATGAACATTTGGTGTCCATAAGTGATTTCATACAAATAATTGCTTGAGCGAACGCGGCCAGTTGCAATAAGAAGAGGAATCGGGGATGGATTGGCCACACACTGAGGAAACCAAACTATGCCCTGGTAAAATAAGCAATTGATTGGACCCCAGAAAGGTGAAAATGGAAGATGGCCAAGCTAAAATTAGAAGCAAAGTGTTGAAAGAGAGGACGAATGGACGGGAGCGGGTTGGGGAGGTGAAGAGACGAGAGTCGCTCCTGTCAGAGACCAGTGGAGACTAGTTGAAGTCCGCTCCAGTGGGAGGTAATGAAATTAAGTCAACCACAAGTGAAATTTAATCTATTTGAATAGTTATACTGAAGACAAAAGGATCGATCTTAACGAATTCATAACTTCAGTGGAGATTGAACTATTATTAGACATCTCAAGGTGGGTATCTACCTGGTAATAGCATTATCATAGTAAGACTCAACCAACCTCCATGACAGAAGAATTACACTTTAAGAGCCACAAGTTAAATATTTACTGAATACTTACGAGGCATGTAAAATTTAACACAATTACACTGATGCAATGTGTAATTAGTCAAGCACTCCAATTGGCAGTTGTTCTGAGTGTAGACTTTAAAGTATTTCAGGTATCGTTCAAATGGAAAGAAACATTGTCGTTTGTTTGGGCTGTAATTCAACAATGATTCACTGGTGGTCATCATGTTAGCTTTTACAGAGAGAACTATCTCACTGTCCAAGGGAACTCGGAAGTAACTCTCTCCAATCTGAGGTATCTCGGCTGGGTTGTGTAGTTTTATCTGAAATTTAAATAAGCCAAATGTTAAATGACTCTTGTAGAAGCACTTGGCTGAGGAATAAATTAAGGAATGAGAAACGGAACACAACAAACCCACAATGGTGTTCTACATCCAGAGAGCTCACAGTTGCTGTTTCGTTTATCGATAGTTTTGAAGTATCTCTCTTGAAGCACAATAATATTGTCTTTTGATATGTTGGTACTAGCTACATGTACCTCCATCCTTAATGTATTACTTACAGACATGATATTTTTGCATCTGGATACTGGATAGCCGAATGGTTGCTCACTTTCATATCTGAAGGTTACTCATTCGATACTAAGAAGAGTTGTTTCCGGACTTAAATGTCATTCTTAGTCATGCTATCAATTAATGACAGCCAACAAATGGTTAATGCTAGATATAGTGAAAGATTGAACTATATTCTTACAATGAAAAGTAATGCCAATGGCGTAAAAACACACACAAAAAGATACCTGTAAAGTTGCTCTGATAGTAATCTAAATATTCAACTTTACGAAGCTATATTGGTGTGCTACCGGTACCCTATAAAGCTTGGACATTAAACATACAGGGTGTCCATAACGGGGTGTCTCAAACTTCAAGGACTGATAGTACTAATCAATCTAAGCAAAAAAATCAAATAAACATAGGAAATAAAATTTCCTTTGCCAATAACCACCATTTTGTATTCTTTACAAAACAATTTATATCTCAAGAATTATTCAAGATAACGAAACCAAATTTTGCGCATATACAAATTATTGTAGCACTATACCTTATAGCCTTGCACGGGGCCTCTACAGTAGTAGTCAAGATCCCATGTGTAAGTGCGGAGGACAATGAAAAGCCCAGATTTCGCACCAGCACCCAAAGCCCGTTTTGGATACACATCTAAAGGAGCACGAATATCATAACCATCTCCAAGGTTCCAATATTTTTCTAACTTCTGATCAACAGGTAAGTCCCTGTATTGAATCCTGTAAAAATAAATGTTGGTTAATTTTATTTGACTAAACTGTATAAAAGTATGCATTAAACTAAGATCCAGAGTAAACTAATTCTACGGGTTGTTTATTTCTACACCGATGTTTCACTGTATAAATTAAGGAATGAGAAATGGAACACAACAAACCCACATACCTATATAGGAGTTCTGATTTTTGGGTTCAAACATTAATTTTTGTTCCCAAATGCCTCAATTTATTTGGTGACTATGTTGAAAAGTTGTATTTTAGATTCTCTTTTAAATGTATACTGTATTAAGGTTTTTTTGTACACACTTTTTTATATTCAAAAACTTCCATTCCTTTTTGACTAGCCCTTATAATATGTTCAGTTGTGTTATATCATGTAAAAGATATTTCAATGTTCAAATAAAGAAAACGTGATATAGTGTTTTCACCAATACTTCAGTTCCACGGTATTATAAAGTATGAATTCAATCTAGTAATAAAAACTTAAGATGATTTTACTTACAAGTTTTCTCTATAGGAATCTAAATTGTGCAGGATATTAAAAGAAAAACACTGCCCCTCTTCGGTCATAACGGGCACAAAAAGTTCTGCACAGTTTACGGGAGCCCCTAGCTTCCATCGGCAAAGAAACAGCACATCATCCAAACTGGGAGATACCTGAAACACACATTTGGCCACTTTCTTATAAAAGACTTAAGTTATGTAAAGACCACTCATACAAAAAATGAAATACAGCAGGCAGGGGCCGCGTTAAGGGTCAGTGGAGCCCTGTGCAAACCCAAAAGCAGTGCTCCCTTTTTTCCTAGTGCGGGCGGGCGGTCTCCAGGGCCCCTGGGCATATGCCCAGTCTGCCTGTTTATAAAAGTGGACCTGACAGCAGGTGTTAGTTGCCTTAAACATGGAGATGACGATTTATCAGCCACGGACAAACGTTAAATAATGAGTTCCATACCAAGCCCATAAGTAATTTATATTTTTATACAGGTAAACCTTTTTTTTATCTGACAATTCAGTGGCCAATCGATTAAGAAATGAATTTTATATAAATGAATCCTTTATATGAAAAAAATACAAACATAATTAGTACATCTATGATGAGTGATCTATGATCAATACATTTAAATATTTTACCTACCCTGGTGATATGGTTGATTCCATTTTCATCAATGAACATATTTGGAGAGTTCCAGTTTACATGGTTGTCACATACAAGTGAGACAGCGTCAAGTATCTTTTGTTCACTGCACAAGACCAAAAAAGAAAAAAATTAATTTGAATTGCTAGGTCATACATACGTATGCATAGTCTGCTGGTTGAACGGGTTAAATCTAAGAAAAGTCAGTAAGTTACCTTTTTGTTTTGTAGTTGCCTTTAGTTCTTTAACATTTTGTTTCCTGATGTGCATTTTGCCACAGGTTGTGGAATCTTTGGTAACTCAGTTAAAAAGTTCTTGAAACTGGTTAACACATTAACCTTTAAAAGTCAGTAGATTTAAGATGGTCAAACTTGACCCAGCCCCCCATGTTCATCGGTGTCTTTGATTTTAAAACATGAGAGAGAGATGACTCAAACAGGTTTTCCGAGTAATGGAGCCATAGACAAAAAGTGTGAATACAAAATTACTGTTTAAATTAAAGAGATGAATTAGAACCATAGACTTACAATAAGATAAAAAGTACACAAGTAAAAACAGAAAACAAAACGTATGAGGGTGTCACGCAGACAATTGAACTCTTGAAAGTAACCAGTGTGAGAGGTGAAACCTAGTGGTGATGTCTGTGTTAGGTTACAACACTTCAACATTCCGACTGAGTGTAAGGTGTGGTGGGAGAGGATTTTGGAGATTAAAATAAGGCCAAGTTGGATTCTAGAAAGACGTTTGTGAGGTCCTGTGACTTCTGAGACTGCAGATTGGCAAAAACGCATATTTTAAGAGTAAAATACAAGCGTTCAGAGCTTTCACACTCATACAATAATCCCTTTCACCCTTTGAAATTACAAGTTTTAATCATCTAATGCATGAGTGGTACTTACTCAGGATCGGTCATGTTCTTATAAATTGCTTCGGTTATGTTGTAAACTTTGTTTTTTGACTTTGCCTCGCTGCAGATTGTAACAGCAGGGAAAGGGATTTGCCAAACTGGCGTCCAGGATTCGGAAAACGACACAATGACAGGGGAATCTTGCCATTTCTGCCAAACTTTCCGGATCATGTAGGCACTGCCGGCAATACTTAGGAGAAACAAAACCAGCCAGAACGATCTGAAAATATTTATGGTTGTTTAGCTAAGCCGCAATTAACATTTGGCAACAACAGGAATAGTTAAAACTACATAAATAGTAAGAGCCAGTAGGTATTGGATTTACTGCTGATCTTGAGAAAAGTAAGCAAGTAGCTTTAATTATCATTCAACTATAAAATCGTAAATCATTATAATTTCCAATAACCCTTATCATCGGCTCATTGACTTGCTTTTTACAACTGAGAGGTAATAAAAAAAAGATTCAGTGGAAAAGTCTGTAGCTTCTTGGTGGTTCTAAACTAGACAGTTAGCTGTCCTTGATCACTTTCAAAGCTTAACAAGGCATTAAATTTTCTCACACTACTTATCTTGAATTCAAATTTGAATAAAACATAATATTTATTATGGTTTAAATACCTGCATTCAGTAATCCAAACTGCTGCTTGTGGCAACTATAGTTTCAGTTCACAGGGAACCATCTTCAAGCCGTATAAGGCGTCGTTATTCACCTCCGTATATGAAGGTCGTCATTTAATAAATAAGTACGTAGAACACACTTGAAAACGCACATCGATAGACAAACATTTAACATTAAAAAAGAATCGAGTACATGGGGACACGAGACAGGTGACGCGACCGGGCGGATGTTGTAGCTCGAACTGGTGTTCAGTGGTCAACATTGTATGACGTCAGCCATTGTCTCCTTAAATGTTCGTTAAATGTCTTCTATCAATGTGCGTTTTTGTGTGTGTTCTATGTAGGCTACTTATTTATTAAATGACGACCTTCATTTACGGAGGTGAATAACGACGCCTTGTACGGCCTGAAGATGGTTCCCTGTGAACTGAAACTATAGTTGCCACAAGCAGCAATTTGGATTACTGAATGCAGGTATTTAAACCATAATAAATATTCAAACGTAATCCAAAGGCTAACAACTCTTGAAAAAGTAATTAAAACATAATATTTTAATATTAACATTTTATATTTCATCCACCCCATTTTCACCACCCCAAAAAATTGTGTAGACTAAGTCTCTAAAATGGCAGTTTTATACCATTTCTTTGTCCGTTAGTGTGACAAATTATTTTACGCAATGTATATGCATTACTGTATTACATGCAGTAAAAAATATATGTATATGTATGCCCGAGGGGAGGGCGGTCGTCACCTTCGCCCCCCCCCCCCCCCCTCTGGATCCGCCACTGGGAGTACCATGGATATCACTGTGCTTTCCAGATGCTTGCTCTGTATGTAAAATAAATTAATCTTAAACCTTAAATCAATTTATTATTACTTCACCTTTCAATGACATGTCTGCCTGCCTCTCCATATATGTATTTCAGTCCGTGGATGGTTGTATTGTAACAATATTCTTGAAAGTGCTTTTTAAATAGTTTCTTCACTGATGAGAGACCAAATTTTGAGTTTTTCCTAAAGGAAGAGTAAGAAGAATAAGCTATAAAAAGTCGATAAATAGGTTCAGTTCCTTAAAATAATTTGAGCTGAAAAATAATTGATGATTATACAAAACCACAACTTAAACAACGTAACATAAGGTTATCATATTGTTCTTCCAGATTTTCTTAAAGCTTGTAAAGTTTGTTTGTAATTCAGAAAGGTGAAGTTTAGTCAAGATTAGTCCTGAATATATTTTTATATTTCTTTAATTAAAAGAAAGTTTAAAATATAAATGGGTTTAAAAGTTATTTTTTTATTGAAAATGAGACTAATCATGATTGTGTTTAATCACTCACTTTTCTTTATTACTTCCAATATTCTCAGGTATTTGTACCTGTCCGTTATTAACAGTAACAGAATCTGAAACATAAAATAGATGGTTAATAATCCAATACCACAAATTGGCAGCACATGAAAGGACCCCTTCATACCAAAGTGTGTGTTATGGTCCTGTTTCAATTGTTTGACCATAATATAGATTGATTACTGACACATTGTTTGTTTATTCCATAACTGCGTAAAATTTTAATTAAGTTATCTACCATATATTACTGACCATGTAGTGTATTTTCGGAAGAATTGAACAAAATCAGAAAACATTTAGACAGTAAAAGCACAATTTGTTCAACAATGGAAAGGGAAATAAACAATTAGTTCTTATTATTGGATATATAATTACCCTGCATGTAACATGATTAATTAAATATTTTACTTACCACCAGAAGCTATTTCTTCAGGCGACTTAACTCTAGTAAACAAGTGCCCGTTTTCTTGCATATTGGAAACAATTTCAAATTTGCACTGCTAAAGTTAAACAAATAAATATTTTTAGTGTTTTAAAGAAAGTGTGGTACGGTATCTCCAACAAGGTATGATCCAAACTGTATGACTAAGCTTACTACATTGATTCCAAACCTCCATCAATATTAGGTCTGACCTTAAGGAACAAGGAATGAGTTATAATGATTTACTAGGACCCTTAACATTGACCATACTCTTGTTTCTATAACCTTGAATTTTACATTCCCTTTGAAGTGTAAAGAAACTTTTGACATTTTTGAAATACGTCAATAATGTATTTGTTCTCTTAAATTTATCTCTTTTACATTATTTATGTGTGTGTAATGAAATTTAATGCTTGAACCCATTTGTTTGTTAATTTAAGTTACTGTGGCATTTAAAAAAGTGTTTATATAACTAAGGTTGATAGTCTTTAGAATAATGTTTTTTACATGAAACACACTGTGAATAAGTTCACACCTTGCTGATGGTACATTGACATACTACCTTATGTTGAAGGCAGCATTTGATTAGTCCATTTGATTTTTATTAACAAAATTTCAAAATATTTTTTGGTATAAATGTTTTTGTTGATCCGGAAGCAAAATTAACTACAAAATACAAAATCTAAATATACGAGGGCTATCCAGATAGTAGGTTATGTTTTGGAATTAAGGGTTATCAAAGTTTTGGAAACGTATTTTATTATATACAAATGAAAGCCACATTTAAATACTTCTTTTTAACATAGTACCCTTTCAAGGCATTTGTTGTAAGACGGACAAGCTTAGAAATTCCTTCGTCGTAGAATTCGGCCGCCTGCGCCTTCAACCACTTGGTTACCTCTTCTTGTAACTGTGCGTCGTCATCAAAACGCTGCATAGCCAGCAACTTCTTCATTGTTGGGAATAAGTGGAAGTCGCTCGGTGCAAGATCAGGACTGTACAGCGGATGAGGAAACAACTCCCACTTAAAAGATTCAAGAACTTCGGGAGTGACATTTGCTGTGTGGGGCCGGGCGTTAATGTGAATCAACAGGATCTTTGAGCTTAACTTTTCCCCTGTGTTTGTTTTGTATCGCTCTTCTAAGGTTATGCAGAGTAATACCTTTGAGAGTTTATTGTAGTGCCTCTTTACAGGAAGTCCACAAAAATTACAACTTCCCTACCCCAAAAAACAGTCGCCAGCACCTTCCTAGCCGATATCGTTTGCATGCATTTCTTGGGTTGGGGGGAATCTGTGTGCCCCCACTGCATTGACTGCAATTTAGTCTCGCAGTTCACATGTTTTGTCACTAGTAACGATGCAACTGAGTCACCATCTTTATTTTTGTGACTCTCTGTCAAGATTTTCGGTACCCATCTTGCACAAAACTTGTGGTAACCAAGTTTTCTTTTCGGTAATGATTTTGTGCAACTACCTTCCCAAAATTTGTGGAAAACCCTTAGAGAGTTCCGTTATTGTGAATTTTCAAGTTTTACGGACTTCGGCATCAACTTATTCGACAAGTTCAGCAGTCACTATGCTGGGTCTTCCACTTCGCTCTTCGCCATGAACGTTTGTTTTGCCATTTTTAAATTTTATGACCCACTGATGCACTCCACCTTCAGTGATAATGTTTTCCCCATAAACTTCAAAATGTTGCCAATAGATGCCTATCGGCTTAAAATTGTTTGCAGTTTTAACCTTATTACTTCACAGTTTGCGGAATTTTCAATCAACACAGACATTTTAAACTTTCTCAGTTACTCAACAACGGAGTACAGCATAAACCTCTCACTAGCATGACTAGATGCCAAATTAGCTGCTTTGCGACAGCGGTTGCTTCTTCTGGAATAGCGGCAATATTGGTAAAAGGATGCTGGACTGCTCATTCTGTGTTAAAATTGTCATTCAACCTTCAAACTACTGAAAAACCAACATGTAACATTGCTGCCTAACACTCCACAGTGGCCAAAGTTTAAGTAGCATCAAAAATCATAATCTGGACAAATTAATGTACAATGGCGCACAAACACGCATTGGAAGCACTTGATCAAACATTGAAAGATCTGTGCAATGATTCGAGATGTTTTGGAGGTGCAATGATTTTACTGTCTGGCAATTTCCGCCAAACTATTTTTGAGCTAACTAAATTTGTATGTTTACCACTGTACAATTAAAAACTGAAGGTTGGTACAGTAGTCATCATGCTTCAAAAGCTAAACCAACCAAAACAGTGCAATGGGACGTGATTGGTGATAAGAGAACTGATGGCCAATGTTATTCATGTGAAAATTCTTAAAGAAAAATTCAAAGGGGAGGAAGTTCTCATTCCAAGAATTGCAATGATTCCAACCGATGTGCCCTTCGAGTTTAAAAGAGTTTACTTTCCGATTTGTCTTGCATTCACCATGACGATTAACAAATCACAAGGCCAATCCTTGAGTTTTTTTTGTCTGAATCTAGAAAATGCATGTTCTTCTCATGACCAGTTAAGTAATACGTGGCATGCTCACGTGTCCCATGCTATATCCCATGTATATCCCATGCTATGCTACTTCACTGAAGAGAATATTCATCCCCAGTGCAACCCAACATACAGCAGAATAGTTTATCTAAAACATAACATGTCTTGTACACAATATATTGAAATCATTTTTGTAAATTTATTTAATACATCTCATAGTAGTCAATCAAGAATCAAGAATTTTTATTCATCGTTAACGCTATGTACAACACATGCAATGGATGAACGTCATAATAGTAGTCTAAAGTTTACAGGCAATAAGGCTAAATAAATATAGACAATAAAATACAGTATTAGCCAAAATAAACAGTACTGAAACTGAATCAGCTGTAGTTGCCTTCTCGATCAGCTGATTCAATAGGTGATTGTTGCCACGCCTTTGGGTTCATTACTTCTTTATTATTTGAGGTTAGTTTTTGTTAACATGGTGCTAACAACTTTAGAAAATATTTTATCGTAGAGCATTATTTTCGCTCATACGGAATTGGACGTGCGGGTGGTCCAAGCTTGTCACACACTGCTTTACGTTTTCAGGAACATTTCCACAAAAACCCGCCTAGTAATGCTGTGATTCTTAGTGTTGTCGAAAAATTTTGAAGAACTGGTAGTGTTTTGACACAGCGAAAGGGCTTTTCAGGTCGCCCAGTTACTGTCTGTACAAATGAAAACCACGGAAGAGTGTTGCAGCAAGTGTTACAGTCATCGAGACTGTTACTGTGAATAGGGATCGATATATAGGGCCATTCTTGTTCGTTTTGTGAGTGACCTCAGGAGATTTTGTCGTGCACGAAACCTGCCGTTAGGTTCACAGTGGTTCCAGCAGGATGGCGCAACCAGTCAAACTGCCGTTAACAACATTGCTCTCCTCCGACAAACCTTTGGCAACCGTCTCATCTCCCTTAGAACAAACTTTCCTTACCCAGCCCACTCCCCCGATCTTACAACACCGGATGCTTACTTGTGGGGAATGTTGAAAGAACACATCTTCCGTGAGGACCCACCATCTACCATCGTTCAACTCAAAGAAAAAATAACCATGTGTATTAGGAGAATGGAACAACCCCTATTCATAAAAATGGTGCAAAACCTACAAGAACAGTACGAGTGTTGCCTCAAACTGAACGGAGCTCATATTGAACATGTTATTACCCGTGTTTAGCCGATTTTGCTTCCTTTGACTTATATGTATTGTTAAAATTTATAGATAAAATAAAAGTATTACCATTAAAAGTATTAAAAGTATTTCAGTACTGTTTATTTTGGCTAATACTGTATTAACAAGTGCAGAGTACATGCAAAAAGTATCACAGTCATCTTAAAAATAAAATACTGAAGTTTATAAAAAACATAGGTATGCAAAGACTAGAGCAAACATGAAAACAGGTGCAATGTGCTTAACTTAAACTTAGCGAAAGATACATTATGTGCAGAAACAGGCAACTTATTAATAAATTATTAATCTATCTATTTATAAATCTATTTATAAATCTATTTATAAATAGATCTATTTATAAATAGATATTTATAAATAGTGCATCTATTTATAAATAGATTCGTAGTTTATTCAGAACAACAATCCTCTTGTCTTTTTCATGACATGTATTTATAATTAAATAACTAAGGGAGGACCCTTAGAGAGTTTAAAGATGGGGCTGGAGTGCCAGCTTTTTATTAATTTAAATAGCAAATGTTTATTGTTTTCCATATTCAAATTGTATTATTACTTATTATTAAAGTAGCTGTCTTATTCTACTTCCTGTGTCTAAGGGCCAGAGTGTGTGGGACTTCTGTCAAAAATGCCTAGTTTGCAATCCCGACAGTAATAAATTGGCCTTTGGCTGTTTAGTACTGCCGTAATATCGTGGCTATGAACCTACCTTTTCAAGATTAATCTTTTAGGCAGGACCTCATATGCAGCATTTGCTGACTCAAAGCAGGTAAACGTCTCTGCTTGTCAATTAGAACAAATATTCGCTTTCCCGTTTGAACAGATTGCTGGTTAGTGAAAGATTATGAAAAAAAATTAAAGTGGGTTGACACCTCTGTTTGACAATCATCAAACATTAAAACAAAAACTTTGCTACCATTCAATTTCTTGGCACTTGGTGAATATCAGGAGTTGAGATCTGACAGATTTGGAAAGGTACAACTAACTATATAAACCATGAAGTGTTTAGTTACTAAGAGTGTTATGATAGTTTAAATTGAAACTGTGCATGAAAGTGGACTAATGTGTAATTTATGAAATGTTAGAACTTATGAACAGTAGAATCAATTTATAGGTGTAATTATTAGTGGGGTTTTGGTTTTGGTGAGTCCCCAACAATATTTGTATGTGAGTGAATGGTACTTCTTAACTTCTTACATCACAGAGAAGTAAGAAGTATCACTGAGGATATAAGCTTATGGGATAACTGTGCGCTTTAAGCTCTGTGATGTTGGGTCGGAAATGAAGACCACTTTTTTGTAACGAGCCAGAAAGATCTCGACTGGCAATGGCCACATAACGTTATTGGACAGCAGTTGTAACGCGCAGAGTCTTCCTACAGCGTGAGCGGTATTATACAATACAATACAATATTCTTTATTGTTCATTCATTAAGAATTATAATAGTGTCAATACAATAGTAAATTGTACGTGTTAATTTCCATAATTTTCATAAAACTCCTTTATTGAGTAGAAGCGCTTGAGATTAGCAAATACTTTAACTCCTGTTGTAGCTTGTTGCCAGTCAGGTCTCTCAGGTAGTCAGGTAGATGGTTCGTCAGTTTGCGGCCGGTGTAGGAAGGTTTTTTTTCCTCCCAAAGAGTGGTTTGGTGAACTGGTAGGGCAAATTTGGAACCATGACGGGTGTTGTAGTGGTGCAGGTCTTGGTTACTTGGGCGGGTTTTCATCCACATACTTTATGGTTTCAAGTATGTAGAGACTCTTGAAACTTCCATTTCAACATTTCCACATTTCGAGAGACACCACTGTGAGGATTCCTAGGTTTGCGAATGCTAGTCTGCAAGTCTGTGGTGGGACAAGGTTGCCGAGGGCTCTTATGGCTTTCTTTTGAAGAACAAGGATTCAAATCATATTCTTTGTTGAAGTTCCTCCCCACACTGTCAAGCCATATCTAAGATGCGACTCTACCAGTGCGAAGTAAGCTGTTTTGGCCACTGAGACATAGACATAGACATAGACATATTTAATTCATGAATTAGGTTCAAATGATACAATGCACATCTCAATCGTCAAATACATTATATGGAATAGTCTAGTAAGCTTTTAAAACAAAACAAAAATAATTAGTTAAGTCTAAATTATACTAAAGAAGATTTAAACAAATAAATAATAATGCCATTTTTAATGAGATCAGGCAGACAGGAATTCTTCGATACTATAAAACTTGCCTTCCACCAAATAAGTTTTCAGCTGTTTCCCAAAACCTTTAGAACCCAACCCTGATCAGCACTGCTTTACTTCAGGAAGCTTATTATAGAAGAAGGGCTTTTATTATTATTATAAAAGGGTCCTGAAAACTTTGCATTCCGATCAGAGAGGGTCAGACGATGACATGGAGTCCGAAGATCTCCTCCATGCCTAGTGGGGTATCTATGACATTGACCAACCGATGGAATATCCCTCAGATGATTTGCTGCAGACATTATTGCTCTGTAGATGAATATAGAAGGCAAAGTTAAAATGTTGTTCTCCCGGAAGACTCCTCTGCATGAATGGAGGGGTGGTAAGCCATTGAGAATACACACTACCCTTTTTGGACAGCATGACAGCAAATACCTTATCAGGATGGAATGAACCACCCCAGACTTCAATACCATAAGTCATAATTGATGACTGAGAAAAACCCACCATAGTAGACTGCAACTAACATTTCCCAGTTATTAAGAGGTTGCAGCGTCCTAAGTGCATGGCAGATGCGGTTTAACTTGCTACAAAGCTGTGATACATGATTGGACCATGACAAATCTAACCACAGTTATAACTAAAATTTTCGCAACGGAGCACTCTTCTATCTCAAACTATATTCAACGAGTCGGATTCAGGGATCTTATTAAGAGCCAGGAATTGCATGAAAACAGACTTATCGGAGTTCAGTCTAAGATTGTTCAGTGTTAACCAACTTATAAGCAAATCAACTGAATCTTCAACTTGGGATTCCAAATGCATGAACCTCCAAGCAGTAAGGTTGTGTCATCCACATAGAATATTGATTTAGCTGAATGAAGATGTGCTGAGAGTCCGCCTATGTAGTTTATTCTTCTGACGACATATATTCCAGCATTGATTTTTTTGCTCAGGTGGTTGGTGTGCTCTTTCCATGATAGTTTGTTATCAAGGATAACACAGAGAAGTTTTGTGTGGTTTTCTATTGTTACATCCTCTAATTGAGGGACTATGTATTTTTTCTTACTGAAATTCAGAGTTGAGGTTTTTGTGGGGTTTATCATTGTTCTTTGAGTAGAGAATGGCTTTATTTAAGATCGATTTTGAATTAAAAGGTAGAGGCTAGTGTTGTACAAGCTGAGGGGGAAAGGGGAGCAGAAGGGAAGACGAATAAAATTTGCTCTAGACACCAGCAACTGGTGCAACACACCACTTAGGCCCAGCGCACACGGTGTGACTGGTTTACAACAACTGTTGCAAACAAGTTGCATCTGAAACCAGTTTGCAACTGAAGCAAAACTTCTGTCCGCACACGGTGTGACTGTTTTACAACTATGGTTGCGTCTATTGTGCAATCAGTGGAGTGTCAATTTAGTGCAGTTACGTTTAAAGCCTTAAGTGCGCTTACTATGTCAGACTCAGGCGAAGAAGACGTTATTAGCTATTATCAGTACCGAAGACAGCGAAGAGTACTGAGGGAGCATTGGGTTTACCCTTATTTGAGCAAGAATGTTAGTCATAGGCTGTTTGTAGCAGCTAGAGCTAGTCGGATAGGAAATTATAAACACTAAAAAGAATATACGGCCGTCAAAATACCACCAAAATACCACCAAACACCACAAAAACACCCCGTGGTCTCGTGCAACTGAAGTCTGCAACGCAACTGCAACGTCGGGACCACGGTTGTATGTGACTGGTTTCAAACGTATTTTGAAATCGCATACAACCAGTCACACTGTGTGCGCTGGGCCTTAAGTGTACCATTGGACGGATCCTCTCCCTCTGTTTCTTACTTCTCTGTGCTTACATCCAACAAAATTGTAAAATTATTTAAAAGGCATTCTACATTAGACTGCTTTTTATTATTGGAGGACGTGCCATTCTTATATCTTCCTACCACCAGCGAGATAATTGCAAACTTGAACATCACCAGAGGTCAAATGTACATCCCATCTTAAATAACACAAATTGGAATGGTTACACACTAAAGTATTAGCAAACAACGTTTCTACTGACACTTTTATGGGTGATGTTTTGATCAGGTAAGAATAGCAAATTGAATGGTTATTTCTAAAACTCATCTATAGAAACCAATCAAATGACAAAAGGGTCCCTCTATATACAGTTTATAATAATACTTTAAGACATGTTTATCATGTTGGTTAAAGGACCTACATTAGAAATACAAAGTTGTTAGAAAAAAACACATTTTCCTACAGTCAACTGATAAAGTGGTCTTCCTTGCACTCTGATTATAGCACAGAAAGTTGCTAGCTGCATCTACTTACTTACGTTTGTCGCACAGTTTTTTTTGCCACACACCAGTATTCCAACCAAACAACACAAAACAGGGTGCTTTTATATTAGGCACGTAATACGTGTACACTTGAAAATAAGTTGGCAGCACTTAAGGATATATGATCAGCTGGTGCAGTTTCCCACTTCGTTCAGTGTTTGGATTTAACCTAGTCTAAAAACGTTTTGTACAGTGTTAGAAAGACTAATAATTATTTATATGGTTTAAAGTAACTATAGGAAAAATATAATGTGTAAAGCGAGTGCAAACTCAAAACACTCAAAAAGATTTCCACACTCGCCTACGAGACAAAGTGGTTTGTTTATATTGTACACTGCACCTGCTTGCTGTCAAATTTTTATCTTGTTAACTTATCTTGTTAATTGTAAAATGCTTGTACTAATTTAAGTCTTGTAAACTGGTTTATACCGTAAACGATTTGAATTGAATTGAATAGACATCACTTTGAGTTGTGATGGTGTAGTGTATTGGGCTCATCATAGTCAGAATGAATGAATACAAGTTACCTATGTTACTGACATAGTGATCGTAACATCATGGCGAAATCATGATGGATCCCTCTGACAATAACATGAGTAAACAAAAAACCTTTACTTATGCTGCAGATTGAAAAAATCAGTACAGTATAAGTAAAGAGCTGTACAAATTCAACTTATCAATCAAAAGTGGGAAAGTGCTGGTAAAATCAGGTAAATAAATAATAACATAAGCTTATTTTTAGGAGTTTATTTCTTCAATACATCAATAATATTACTACACAACATAGTTTTGGGTTGTCCATTTTTTTTTGTATTTTCAAGTTTTTTAAAAGGCTGAAGATAATAAATTATAGAAAACAATAGTTTATAATATAGTTTGTAATATATCACAAGCCAAAACATGTTTTTGATCTCCTTAAATGTAGTACCTTCATATCAAACAACAATTTTGGCTACTTTTGATTGTATATGAACTATAATTTATTGTACTTCATAACGGATATCAACAATTTTGCCTTAGTGTCGAACAGTACAATTTTGTAAATTGCACAAAGTGCATACAAATTTATCATATATAGAGTGATAAGAAATAAAGCTTAAGTGAATCGATCGGACCCACACCCATGCAATTCTAACATACACACTTCACACAACTAATATGCCATATTGTATTATCAAATTATAATAGGAACTGGAGTTAACTGAGGTTTAATTTATAACTAAAAAATACAAATTTGGGAGATACAAATTTATCGAATAAAGAAAAATTAAGAATGTATTTGGTGTGGCGGGAAAGATAAAAATAAATAACAACTTCCGCAGAAGGTGAGCGTATACATTTAAAATGAGGAACACAACATGTTAAGGATAAATAACAATAAAGAACAATGAAGATTCAATCAACAAAAAATCATACCTGTTAACACGATAACAAGTTATACAAATATGGCAAAACAAATATTGCAGCAACATTACAGATACATCTAGGAGAGTACTGTACTTATTGTATCTGTCTAAGTAAATGTTGATACTATTGAAACATCCTGTAAACTATTGTAAATTAAAAGTTAGCTAAATTATTATTACTGTCGTACAGCGATGTGGAAGTAACGATAGCAACCTGATGCTCAGTTATACGGATAATTTTCATGTAATTTTGTTACCATCGGTGGTTTTACTTATCGTGCGGTCTCTTGAAAAATGTGCTCTCACTCCAAGGTTGGAGAGCTGTACGCGATACATCAGGATACTATTGAAACTGGGGTGGTGACAAGACTCTTTACCCCTGGACTCTTGAAGTGTTAAATGAAAGAGAAGGGGTTTGTTAATTCATTTTGAATTTGAAAGCATGAAGTTAAACTTTTTCCGAACATAGTTGAAATGAATGTTTTAGTAATGATAGCTGGATTGCTTCAAAGGTTTTCAGACTGAATCTTTGATGTTCAATCTTTCAAATATTTTTATATAAAAGATTTTTTAGGGTTTCTACTCCTTAAAATGGTTGTTGCCTTAAAAAACTACAATAGAAAAACAGTCTCAACAAAACAAGGTAGAAAAACGGTTTAAGAAGATTATAGTATAGTAGGTTTCTGAAGGTATAAGTAATTTTATTAGTTTCGAAATTGAAAACAAGCTGTAAACAGTTTAAATTTATATAAATATCTTATAGCAAAGCTGATCAAAGCTAAAAATTTAATAAGTTATAAAAAAAATATAAAAAATTGGATACACTACGGTAACTGTTGGATTAGCTAAATTATAACAACAACTGATGCTTCAGCATAGCAACAGGGTCAACAAGATCAACAGAACAACATCAACAAGTGTATGAGGTAAGTATCAGGAGTAGAGTCCAGAGTACAGGGTAAGGAGCCGAGTCACCTCCTACTATCTATGGGACACATGAGCTTGATGTACATTACTGTATCTTATGTAGCCAGACGGCTTTAAAAACTAGGCAAACTGGATGCAGAAACGTAACAGTAGAAGAGAAAGTCGCAAGAGGAGGCTTACATCTCTTAAACCCCTTAACTTTAAACTGACCAACTCAGTGTTTAAAGCAAGATATTTAAGGGAATGTAATAATTTAAACTGGCAGTTGTCTCTCGCCTATGACATTTGTGAAAAGATAAGTAATGAACGAAAATGACAAATGTTTCATCTGCGGATATAGACGGGTTAAGGATGTGTGAGCGAATTACAAATGAAATGTCAGACGACGAAGGACAACCGCTCGGACAACCGAAGCGAGAGAAAAGCGAGACAGGATAGGAACATATAATATAAGCTGCAACAACTAAGTGGTACGATATTACTGTAATATGACACCAGAAAAATTAACTTTATATATTATACTGTAGAGTGAACAATTAAAACATGATATTGTTACAAAAACTTCTATTGATGTAAAGTACTTAAAATTTTTCTGCGTCCAAAAATCCAAACCGATTGTTTTGGAAACGATTGAGAAATTTTTGGACTGTCGGAATATTTTGCAAACTTCTACCAGCTTTTTACCAAGATAATTCTCTTAAATCCAATATTCGATGTTCTGGCACTGAAATTTACTTCAGCAAATTTGCAAAATATTGTAGCCGAACAAGCAAATCTTTTGAATTTATTCGCTCGGCTACACGATATCGACTTACGAGAGGCGTTTGCCGATATCTAGAAAAATTCAGCTGTTATTACATAATAGTATTAGACTATTTATGTATGTGAATATGTATACCGCTGCGTAGCAGTCGGTATTTGGGCTATTGCATCGTCTATTGTTCAGTGATCCTACTTCACAGGCTTACACAATAGTGGCAACTATTTATGTATCCGGGCTATTACAACTCTTCGGAAAAATGCATTGTGGTGCATATCAGCATAAGCTGGTACACATTCGGGCTATTGTAAAACATAGAGTTTGAATGCATATGGTACACGACGAGTCGAGTCGTCGTGTATTGGGCTATTGAACCATAATAGTACATTACTGTAAATCATAATAAAAGCTGTACAATTAGTGTTGTACTATTATTCTGTGTGCTACATAATAGTTTTATACTATTTATGTAATCATTAGTCACTCATCGGTACATAATAGTGTCAGACTATTTATGTATTGGGCTATGGCTTATTTCTGTATGTGTATGTGGGTACGTGGCAGTGTTCTGCCACGCACTTGGTTATACTATTGCATCATGTCATTGTGAAAAGTGGGAGATTGCACCCCCGGTGTCGGACCGGGGGTGTTTGGGCTATTGCAGTCACGAATGTGTGTGTGTGGTACGCAGGGGCACTTCATTCAGCAGCACCCCTACGCATTGGGCAACTATTTCAATATGTGGAAATTTTGCAAGTGTGTGTGTGTGTACATAATAGTTTAAGACTACCAGTACTGACGTGTGTTTTGTGGAAGGAACCGAACAGCCTGTAAAATAAAACAATGCGTTCAAAAAGATGAAAGGAAGCGAAGCCAAGAGGTGCAAAGAGAAACAAAGGAAACAGAAAAGAAGACAAACCGAGGTCTATTTGTCAGTTGTTACGGGAGGGTTAAAATCGGATTCGAAACGTTCAAGATACAGTAAACCGAGGGGAATAAGTACTGTTGTTTGTGTGTCGAGTTAGTTGATGATTGTCCCGGTGGTACATGAGTGGGAACTGAGCTGTAACGCAACTACTGGAGGCCTGGATAAAACTCAATCTTTGGGGCAACCAACGGGACAATTAAAACTCATAACCGTCAGTTCCCACGCGTGTACCAGAGCGACAAGCTTTGGTGAGCGGCCGAGACAACGGGTGACGAGCGAACGTCCTGCGAGTACAGTCAGCCGCCAAGCCGTCCCGCGGACTGTCCTGCGCGACACACCGTCACGCGACCGCAGCTATGGAGGCGCGATACGCCTTTACCGTTACCAGAGACTGAGCCAGGTTGTTTGATTTAGGATCCGTTTGACAAATCCTAATACTGCTTAATATTTCCTAATATGTACATCTGTAAGGCCCTAGTAATACATAAATTGTGGGAAATCATGATTTGCTATTGTAATTGAATCTTAATATTAAAACTTTGTACACAAAACCAGTTCTATTGAATATACAGTACACTCATATGTTACTTATAAAACGGAAGCTCGGCTGCACATCAGTTTGTCACTAGGATCAACGTAGGTATTCATTTGAATTTTATGAGGTACATTTTTAGATTTAAATTGAATTTTTAGAGTACCTATAACAAAATTATCAAACCACCTAATGTTAATACTTTGAAAATTTTTAAATTAAAACCTTTTGATGGAACAATAAATAGATAAGCAAAAATAAATATCCTTTGTTCCAAAATTACAATATTTTAATAAATAAAATAATTTTTTTTTAAAGTAGGTTTATTTTTTATATAAGAATAAACAAAATGAAAAAAAAACTAATATCACATAAACATTGAGTCCTATAATAATTTCACAAAAAACCCGTATTAAGCTTATTTTTGATCCCAATGACAAACTGAATGTGCGAGTAGAGCACAATCAGTTATCAACTGTACAGCGCAAAAGTGTGAAAAAATAAAGAGCAGTGTAACCTTTGGATTTGGTACGGATATTTGAATATCATCTAAGTATTGTCGGTCCGTAACATAATCAATGGCTTGCTGCGCCTCGGTTTAACAAATGAAATGTTTGACTATTGATACATGTACATAGAGCTATACAACCTCATTCGCACTCAGATTCACTCCAAACTAAAATCATAGTGTATATACAGAACATTTGCAGTGAAACACAGAAGTGCGATTGTAAAACAATTAAGGAAGCTTGCTTGGTAATCACTAATAGATAAATCGTGGTAATAAAATTTGTAGAGATTTTCTGAGCTCTAAAGAGATTTTTCAATGTTTAAAAAGTAGTTTTCTGATAATTTTTCAAGATGAATTTGTTTTGCCGCACAGAAATATTGTAATCAGTTCCAATAGTTGATTTGATAACTTGACAAATTTAAACTCCAATTACAAAGTATTATCACCAATGAACAGTTTTGAATACTTAACAGTTTGACACTAGGTCAATTTAAAGCTCAGTGTTCTCAGAAGTAAAGTTTCAAAACAATAAATTTTAATCTAAAGCAAACAAGAATTCACAGCCAACATAGGACATTAAACTAAGACAACAAAAGTTTGAAATGAAGCTCATAACAAAAAGGTCAACAATAAAATAATAAATTTAAAACAAAACATCCACACTAAAACACAAGTGAAAACAGTGACAATAAAATATTAGGCACTAATGAAGTTTACTCAGTTTCCTTGTTCTACTTCACTGCATATTATTCTGTACATTCACTGAGGATAAAATAATTCTAATAATATTATATCCCCAAGACGGTGAATATATTTACTAAATGCCCAAGAGATAAGTTTTAAATGCAGTGTGCTAGTCAAAAGAATCTATTCCTTTGAAAAATACCTATCTTTTGGTGTTTTTACATTTAACCAAAAATTATTAACCAATATCAGCCAAAATAACATTTCTATTATTTTATAAACAATAACAATATACAATATACTGCACTATGAATATCGATTGCAAACCCCATAAAAAACAAACTAAATAAAAATAACTCATAAACTATATCAGTCACATGTGTTTCATGTTTAAATATAATCATATAAAACAAGGTAATTATCACTATTCGTACATTTATTTTTAATTTACATACATACTTACACACAGGAACCGAACAAGACATTCTCTAGTCGTTGGTACTAAATTTCATCTTTTCAAAAATACACTAAATAAATCGTCATCTGGTAATAAGATCGCGGAATAAAATTTAATATAGGTGATTTCATCGATACATACTTTATAGTTCTCATGTACAGATTTATAAATCAACAATAATATTAACACCAACACGATCTGTCGGCTCGGTCGAGGAGCAACGGTGTAAACATTTATGAACCACATCGAGCAAGTCCAGCCGGTGTAAAAAGCGATCAAAAATAGTGTTCCTCTCTCGGTAACGTGATATGTTTCTTTAACAACCAAAATATTGTCATCTGAGAGAGAGGATGAGGTTAGGAATCCGACTGGCGATAAATTCTTTTACTACAAAGCCTAAATAGATTAATGCCCAAAAAGGAAAGGTTTTGAATTTATTCGCTTCGACGCGGAGGAGAAAAATGTCTAACACCGTCAGCTCTCAACTAAGCGTGACCGACCTCCCTAACAATAAATAAATAATATTTCTTTAGAAGACATGTACCACGACCTTAACGGTTACAAAGATATCAGGCAGCGTCGACAAATATAAAATCATCACAACACCGGGCTCGCGGTGTCGGAGTCACTACAACAGTCTGTTCGGGCTTTACGCTGTACATAACTATCGATACAATTACCTAGACAAACTATACAGGCGTCAGTGCAAAGCATCACTAACGTCAGGTGCGGAGTACAAAGCACTGTGAACGTCCCACTTTCACACACGTCTCTGTGAAAGCCGTCGAACTAGTTAAATAGAGTCCAGGAAGCTTTGCAGAGGGTCGTAGGATTCGCTTCCGTTTCAGAAATAGCTGAACCCTCATGGATTGATGTGGTGCTGCTGCGTGGAGAGGGAGAAGCCCAGAGCTCGAGGGTCGCCTCCGTGGAGTCGCAAGGCCTGCTCCAACCTCTGCTCCTGCAGTCTAAGTGCCTCCGTGAGGTCGGGGGAGACTTGGCCCTGGTGATGCTGGTAGCCACCCCCCACCTGTCCGTGGTGACCTCTCAGTGCTGGGTTGTCTCCACCTTGTGACGTGGACGCTACCACTGCCTGGGTCACAGCCAACCTCAGAGCTGCCTCTGCTTGAGATCTGCAAACATATACAACCAATGTAATAAAAACCATCTGTTTTTAATCCAGATATAATTGTACCATCCGCTAGAATCCCAATATACGTCCACTAGAAGTTTAAACCAAACAGTCTGCCTCCGAATTTGATTTATTGAATCCCGGCGAGTAACTGGCCTGTCCCTCAGTAAAATTTGAATCCTCATCAACTGAAATTTCCATCAAGTCTCAATTTTTCTACTGTAGTACCTTACATTTTCTTTACACGCCCACATTGCTTCAACCACTACGTTACACATGAATGGGTTACGACTAAACTATCAAGAAGTGTTGATTATCGAGTTCTCAAAGTAAAATTAAAACAGAAGAAAAACACAGTAAGAATGAGTGTACTATGACATTTGAATGGACTTTCAAGATATCACACCAATGATTCACCTTAAGATAGCTTCTTGCATCCTGAGCGTGGGTGAGGAGGAAGCCTGCGGTTGCTGCAGACTCGACTGATGACTTCCCTGGTGATGGTTCATGGAGGCGTCCACGACCATGGACGACATGGATGCTCTCACAGCAGCTGCGGCATTCATCAGCTGTACGGCGGAATTCATGGACTCTGCACTGCTTGTGTTGACAGGTCCATTACTGTAGTCAACAGACATACTGCTTTCATTCTTATGAATTCTTTTACAAATAATCAGTAGACTTGGGCATCAGATTTCAAAATTTTTTAATCCAAGTTTGCTTGACCTTATTAAAATTTAGCTAGATGAGTAACTGTAGAAAGAAGATTTGATACAAAAAAGAGATATGTTATTTCTACCGAACTGTTCTTATCTCAGGAAACTCAGAATCATGTAAGTTTACTTTTTGTTTGTACTAATAAATTACTGTACCTATACATTTCATTTGTATTGCAGCTAGTTGTGCTTCTTTGAAAAACAAATAAATGGTCATAAATTTTAAAACTATATTACTGTTACGGTACTGAATTAGTTACTAATTTGGATAAAAACTTTGCAGGAACAATTTCCAGACTTTATTTAAACCATGAGTATTCTCAGTATTTATATACCTGTGCATGCTTTGTTGTGAGTTCTGTTGGTTGGTGGAGGTCATGCGCATCGCTGCTGCCAAGTTTGCTGCGGCAGCTTGCACCACTGCTGCTGCGTTGTTCTGGCTGTCACCTCCGTTGCCCGCTGCGTTCTGCTGTTGTTGTTGCTGCGCAATCAGCGCAGATGCTGCTCTCTGCAACTCCTCCGGGTTGTATTGTTGGCCAGACTGGTTCATGTAGTGATGGCCGTTACTACCTGCTAAGAAGAGTGAGTGTTAGTAAAACTTATACTATTATACTTTTTCTACTGTTTAATTACTGTTGAAGAAGTTTTATTGGAGTATTAGTTGTAGAAATAAGATAGTGTGAACAATCTAGGAAGGTTAGTAGTGAAATTGACAAATGACACGGTTCAATTTGTCTACCGATGGAACCATTGCCAAAAGGAATGCTCACCTGATCTTCCAGCCATCAGCTCAGCCAGCTTGGCCGATGCGGTGGTGTTGTTGTTATTGTTGTTGTGCAGCAGCAGAGAGCTGGCACCTGCTTCGCTGCCGGCGCTGCTGAGGCGACCTTCACCTCCGCCGTTACTGCTACTGTCACTGTTAGCAGAAGGAGAAGCACACATTGAACTCTGGCCTCCTCCAACATTCAAGTTGAGACCCATACCGGCCCCAGCAGCTGCTGCAGCTGCTAGCAGACTCTCTCTCTCCCTGCGCTCTGCTGCGGCTCGAGACAGGACGTACTGCGCTGCAAACTGGTGCTTAGGGTCCATTCTCATGTGCTCCATGTGCGATAGGAGACCTGAAAAAGGAAAATCAAGTTATAGGTCTTTGGCAAAAAATATGAATAAATATTAATTAATTTTTACCTTTTCTGGCATTCTTATTCGCTGCTAAGTTGAGGCACGTTATTTTGTCAACTAACTGACTTCCATGCACACAATTAGTTATTCTGGGGGACGACCAGAAATAAAATTAAAAAATGGGCAGAGTGAAAGAATATGAGACTGTAGGAAAGTATTGCTGCCAATGAGACCCTAAAAGTGGGACAAATAAAATAGTCTCAAAATATAAAATTTTGGCTTATCTGGGTATACTGAAATTTTTTTGAATGGTGTGGAAGATTAAGCAGCAGTTAGAGTTTTATACCAGTGGTTCATAATAGCAGGACTAAATTAAATCTTATCAGTTACAGATCCTGGTTTGAATGAATTTAAAGGATTACAAAATTAATTTTCTATCTGAAATGGTAAAGTTTAAGACTACTCTCAGTGTTGATTACCTGGATTGGCACATTTTTCAATGAGAAATCTTTTTGGATATAAAATTCCAAAGAACCACCAGGCATTTAATATTTATTGTGATCTTAGACCAAGACTCGGTCACAAATCCATTATTTGCATTGTATACAATCAAAATAATGTACTATTTTATTTTCCCAAGCTATTAACTTATATAATGCCTCCAAGATCTTCGCCAATCAGTGATCTAGTATTATTTGCTGTTTTTGAAATTGAAATAGGCAAAAATTTGACCAGCTTCTACAGGAAAATATAGGTGAAACACTTTCTGCAACGAGACAACAACCGATTTGACTTCAACCACCTGGAGTGTTTGGAAGATGCTATGTGAGAATACACCAATCTGAAAATATTGCAAGTTAACTTACCAGCTTCATGGGTGAAGACGGCCTGGCACACGGAGCATGGCCACATCCTCAGCGACGTTGCGAACTGGGCGGTCTCTGGATGACAGGCGAGATGTTTGCGAAGACTGCCTTCGTTGACGTAATGTTTCCCACAGACAGGACAAGGATGGTTAGCCGTCCGTCGCTTGGCGATGTAGGGAACTGGCACATCTGTTGAGAAGATATTCTTAGAGATGGCAATTGGCTGGGATGTTAGAAGAATCATGTTGATCAAACAGCAGTTTTTGGCTTTAGCTTGTTCTCTTTTTGACAAATAATTACAGTAAAAGGTATCTTGTCAAATTTATTAGTAAAATTCCACTAAACACAACCTAGCATTAGGAAGATAAGCTGTGTACCTTAAAATAGTGTGGTGTTCCTTGGGGGTGATTCTTTGGTATGTAAAAATAGTGAACTGTTAAAAATGCAATGCATCTGCCTGAACACCCGATACTTCAGTGTATATTAAAAAAGAAATTTTACTTTTTGTAGGCAGTAGGCTTATTCTATAGGCAAATATTCTATAAATTGTAAAGACATTATACACATTTTAAAACGTTTTTCTCAGTACCTAGGTACTCACTCAGTAATACGCATATAAGAAACCCCGGTAATTTTTTCTGGCTAACAACCAGCTAATGGCCAATTTCATAATTAATAGTCTTTCGAGCATTTGTATTTTCAACAACCACCAACTGTCACTACAAAGAATATTATTTAAAGTTTGATGTACTTTATCAAATTTATCTATTCCTTTCTTGACTTTATCAAAGTCCGAAGTGTACTTATCTATTCCTTTCTTGACTTTAGTGTACTTTAATTATTTATTGTATGTGTTTTTTTTTACATTAAGCATAATATAATTACAATTTCTTCTATCAGGTCTGATATCCACAATACTCTCACTAAAGTAAATAAAGGAACAAACAAAAACAAAGAGTATAACAATATCGCAAAGCACTTGTTAAGAAGCACTTCCAATCAAAGACTGAAAAGCTCCTCCAGAAATTAATGCCGGGACCAGAATGACCCGCGATGAGGGAACGTTCTGAAAATGAAAACTAAAGTGAACGAGTTGGCGCAAGGTTTGTAATATTTGAATTCCTGGACGGCTCAAAAGAAGTAACAAGAAACAATAAGCTGTATTGTTTGTCTGTGAGACGAATCTTGCTTACAATCGCCGCTCTTCCTCAGATTAAAAACTGCCCTGAATCATTCTCCTTTGTGGCACGAGCAGAGTAGCCACCACCCTACTTTTACTGCAGGATGAGCTTTTGATTTTTGGTAAGTGAAAGGAGTCATTAATTTGTTTGTAGAATGACTGAAGTTTTTTAGTTGATTGCAAACTATTTAGGTTGATTGAAGTCCAAAAGGATGGTGAAGGGGCCTTTTAAGAACCGAAAAGCCATCTTTTGATCTAAATACAAGTAGTAGGTGGGTTATAATTTCCCAAGTTACTGATAATTTTTTTAAGGTAACATTACTTTAAGGTCACCTTTTTTGCTACACATTCTAAAGTATAAAATTCAACTTGGGATGATGCATAATTTTTCAAAAAATATATCATATATAAAACTTAACGTTTATTACATTTTATGAACTAAAACTAAACCAAACAAAAACTTCACAGGCCATTGCTGTGCAAGTTTTGCAATAGCGTTCGATCAATACATAGTTCGTTGTGGTGCCAACTAGAACTAGTCTAATAGTTAATTTTGAATGAGCGAATGCCATGGAAACTGAAAACAATCAACTAGATTTATTCATAGTGGGGGAATAGTGCATAATAGAGATTTTAAAAGCGCCCCGAACGCTGTCATGCGGCATGGGAAGCTTTGCATAGTGCTTGCTAATAATTAATGAGTATACGACCATAGCTGAACCATTGTTAGTCGCTGTGCAGCACATTTTAATGGATTCGCACTATTTTATCGACGCAGAACTAGTTGAGGTTAGGTTAGAGGATTTGCCGCCAATTCTGCACGCGCTCTTTCCGTTCCCGCCAATCCCACCACCGCATCCATCGGGTGTGGTCTCGGCGATAATGTTGGCGGTTGGAGTTCGGTCTAGCAACGTTCGTGATTCCGGAACCATCGATACTATAATAAATTGGTAAAGTGATCAAACTTAGTGTTCTGAAATGTATATAAACACTCAATAATAAACTATACTTTTAATACAATAATATATTTGTTCAGTAATAAGAATGTTTGCCTCCTCATCAGCTTCAATCCTATTTAACCTTCTAGCCTAATCATATACTTCATTGAATAATAAGTCTGTAGGAGAATAAGTAATTAAAACCAATAAAGTTGTACCGTTGTACCTTCAAAATGTGATTTTTATCTTCACTGTTTAATTGGGCACCACAGGACCGGCTTCAGTCCCAAACTTATTAACATTGGTTTTACCCCTTATCATTTTATCCGTATTTACTTTATATCTGCAACAGTTGATTCAAACAAAAATGTTTTGCTTTTAATTGGGATTGTTTAATTTCATTCTATAGGAACTCTATGTCAAAAACATGTTTTATAGAAAATGTTAAATCAAATTGAGTCGAAATAGAAAGTTTATTTACTTGTATATTTCTATTGGTTGTATTTAACATTCTGTTAACTACGTTTTTCCCTGTCGCATTTTACCATGTTTATCACTAACACTACTTACTGGGCACTCCAGTGTTGTTGGCGTCTTTATGCGTGTTCTTCATGTGCTCCATGAGGGCTTCTCCTCCCAGGAACAGTTTGTGACAGATTGGGCAAGAAGTGGCGTTAGGACCTCCTATCAGCGCCGCGTGATGCTGCATCACATCAACCCGCAGCTCAGCCTCCTACAAACAGAGCGTAGCGTCAGCAACTGGCAAATAGTGGCTAGATTCCACGCTCTTGGGGCAGAATCAAGAATATATTGTAAAACCTATTCGTTGTAAGGTTTCAATAGAAGTGTTATTAAGGTGGGGATCGGGAAGGGGTTAAACTATTAGGAAGGGATAAAACTTGAGATTTTTTTAAGAATGTATTGTAATAGTGTTAAGGGTGTATTCTGAGAACTATTTGGTTGTGTTTAAAGTATTTGTTTTTAATTGAGAGATTTTATATTAATTATATTTATTATTGTGTTTTTTTTTTATAAATATAAACACGACGTCTGAAACTTAAAGAAACAATATTATGAACATTTTAAAAATTCTTCTATGTCTTCAATTGTAATAATTTTTAATATTTAGTGTGCGTTTCATAAAAAAAGTTTGTTTTAATTTAACTATGACGAAAATACCCACCCCTGGAATAAAAATAGAGATATACGTGGTTATAGTAGATAAAACAAACATAAAATGTTTCAGAATAGTAATTTTGAAACTGAACATGATAAAAATATTCCAAAACACACAAATAAATACAAAAATGTTTATATACTAATCGAGTTGATAAAATTAACTCAATGTGCAATTCAAGTGATGAATAAACTATGAAGTGACTGCAAACTAAAGAAAACTAGCTTAGTAAACAGCGAATTTGGAAAATGAAACAGTAGTTAAAAGGTCATGCTGAAGAACGAAAATAATGAATGACACATAAAAAAATATATGCTGATTGCGAAATCCATGAATGAAAACATAATTAAAGATTATAAGAAATGCTTTCAAGATATGTACCACAAAATAAGCAATGATAAAAAATCTATTTGAGTTTGTATTCAATCAATTCGTTTACAGAAGATATATTGAATCAACGAAGTATTACATTACTTCAAAAAATAAAATTGAAATTCAAAATCCCTAACAGCCTCGTAATTACCTTTAAGGCAAAATTTCACCCCGAGTTGAAACGGTTAGTACAGCGCTTCACAAAACAATCCATGCTCGGGTCACAACAGTAAATGCACTAGATACGCACTCAACAAAACTACCAGAGATAGCCAAAAGTGAGAGTGTTAGTGTAAATGCAGGCCCTAACCTCTTTTTTGGGGGCGTCCCTACCCTCCGGGGTAGCACCCGAAGGGGCGGAGGCTGACTCCGTCTTAGCTGACGTGGCAGAGGTGGTAGGAGACGGTAGTCGCATCGGTAAGTAGTAAGGCAGGTAGTAGGGCTCGACTTTTAGAATCGGGCACTATAGACAAATGAACCGAAAGTTAAAACCAAAAGTCTCACCTGGAATTTTTCAAATCAGTAACATTTTTGAAAAATAATTTTGCTGCCCATTCGATTAAGTGCTGGAAAATTAGCCAAGAGAGTTTGAGATTGGGGTTTCAGATTTTTGGAAAGGTATTTACTCGTATAGTATATTTTTGTATTAAAGACTAGCAATGATTCGCACTTTACAATTTATATACAGCAATTTACTACACGTCTATTTAAAAAATAGTGTGTTATTCAGTAAAATAAAGTTGTCACTTGCGCGTTATCTGTTGAGCATTTTCTTCAAACATTTGTTCCAGTAGTTTCAGATTTTCCTATCGAATGTAACATTCTTAGAGCTTAGCCGTTTAAATTGTATACAGTGTGTTTATTTATTTTGACTAGATATATTAATTGATTAGAATCAATATACTACATTTTGCCTGGATGGAATGTAAATTGATAACTGGTCTCCAAGATCAGTTTTTAAGATTTCATTTATAATTTTTCCGTGGTTGTTATATCTTATTTCGTGCAAAATCATCAACGACACAATGATCAAGGATGCTCTGTAAAATTTGCACTATACTGCCTGTCTAAAAACGACAACAGTTTAAGATTTTGCGGTAAACGTGTCTATATGTTTGCGAACCTGAATCAATATTATTTCGTGATTAATACTAATGACTTAGTTGGAAAATGCAATGATGCTCATAAACGACTTAATTAATACATGCATCCAAGTGGCACGGTGATTTGGTGAAATTCCGTGGTTTTCATGACAGTTATGACAATAATTAATTAGACGTAATAGTACAAGTCAAATCGGTGGATTGAGTGGCATTTTTTGACAATTAAGTACAAAATATTTTACATGAGCTGGTTTATTTACTTAGGGTCAACATATTTGGCCATTTTTATTCATCCAAGGATCATGAATTATTATTATACATTGAGTTTTAACACGTTTCTTTGATGGAACTTTTTACAAACGCAGACATTTTCATAAATGCAACATTTAGTGCTTTTATTCTAAAAATGTCGTATTTAAAATATAAAATTGCCGTCAATAAATCAGATTATTTCTGAAATAGAACTCATTAGTTAAAAGGTTTATTAAATTTACGAATTCAAATCGAAACTAAACTTTTTAAAGCTTATATAATTAGGTAGTAGGTTTATTTGTAAAGTGTCCAATTTTTTATAAATTTGAACCAGGGACAAATACAAACGCTTTCCTAACAGCTTTCTAGACGAAAACGTAGACGTCTGAACCGCGTTGACGCCACCCCGCAACCCCCCGGTGATAATTATAATGTCGTCGCATAAAACATGCATAAAAATAGGGCATAAAATATAAGAGTAAAGAATACGAAATGAGTGAAACACAATTTATGACTTGTGGGTTGCATTCCTTTGTGAATATTAAACCGAAACACGTCTCAACTCCATCAGACAAAAATAGTGTAATTTTGTTGGGGAATTAAGTGTCTCTGTTATATGTAGGGTAAATATAGGGAGAGAGGCAAGATGGGCTGGTTTGTAAAGGGTTTTAAATGTGAAGAAAAAAAACTTTGGTTTCTATTACGATGCTTTACTTCAAAGTAATTTTTTTTTTTAAGGTAAAGTGATCATAGGTAATTTTTGCAGATTCAAAGAAATTCTATTGTAACATATTCCTGAAATGAAAAGTTTTGTAAATGAGGATATAATTATTTTTTGTTTAAATGTGAGATAAGTAAAGAATGTAAAGCGAAGAACATTATGTCGTCAAAAGAGAAATTTTCAACATCGTAAAATGAAAAGTTTATAGCATTCCCAGTAAAAAATAAACAGAACAAAACCTTAAAAAAAATCTAAATCGGTTCAAAATATACTAATGACTTTTGCCACATCATCGTCAAAATCTAAAGAATCTAATCCAAATTTCCGTGATCAAAACCACTCATACGACCGAAATGGAATTGACAAACGTGGAAGGGCAAACATGGATCAGCAAACAGAGAGAGCTTAAATAAACAAAAACTAAATGGGTGAAACTATCCTTACAAAAACATCAGCCCGGGGCCGTGCATAAGTGCATCCGCCATTTAAATAGAAATTGAAAACAAACAGACGCGCAAACAATAGTTTCCACCACTATTGATAAAACTAACATGGTGGCCGATGAGCGAGCTGTGAATGTGGGTATGGTGTGAGCTGGTCAATTACACTCTCTCAGATATGGACCTGAGTAAGAAATATATAGGTGAGAATTTTATGAAACAAAAACTACGTAAGAGGGCCCGAATGAAAAGAAAAACATAACGTATATGGGTCAGATTGTGAGAAAAAGTACTGAGGAATCAGGTGAGAGAAAAACTATACGTTATGAATAGCTTTAAAAAATTACGCGACTTGCATCAAGTAAGGAGATGATACGAATACGAACCAGATACATTACATGAGTCGTAGTCCCCAATATCTGAAGGAGCCTAAGGGCAAATTTTCTGGGTAAAGAGAATTCCTGGGTATGGATATGATTTTGAATGTAAAGGCTAGAACTTCACGATACGAAAATACGATAACTTTGCGGACAAAGCTTCATAAACGGATTTGTCTATGACAATGCATATACAGTTTTTCTCTAAACAAGCGCGGCCTCAACTCAACTCCGGTTACGGTCGAACCACGGACACCCCGCGGGCCTGGCTGGTCGTGAACGCCGGATTAATACAAGTTTCCTTGCGGTAGGACAAGGTTGTACAAGAACCGATTGAAAAAAGAGGCAAACGACCCCAGGGCAGCGCAGGAATGAAAAAATGAACAAGATGAAAACAATGCAAAAAGAATCCGGTTCGAGGGAGTGGGAGGATGCATACGATTACAGCGCTACGAGCGACGTTCTGAGGAATTACTGGGCTAGGTTGTGTGCTCTTCGTGGAACTTGGAACTACAATGTGAGGGAAGGTGAATGTTGTGTCTTGTGTGTTGGGTCAATCAATTTATATGAGCTTAATTTCCGTGAACAGAAATGACTTCGACAGAAGTGACTTCAGAAATTTGTTTCACAAAACCTCTCATGAAACATATATTGCAGATTAAAAAATATACGAGAAGATTACAAGTTTGGGTTAGGTACGTCCTGAGTACCAATTTAATACACAACGTCCAGTGCGACGTAAGGTGGTGTATATACCACCGTTAATATTGTACTTTAAGTGAACGATAACCTATTCCACTTTTCAATTATCAATTATCAATTATCAATTAGTTAAGATGGGGACGCCACTATGTGCGTATTTTAACCCAAATATGAGTGAAGGATGAGTGTAGGATGAGTGGCGCGATCTTGTAGTCTTGTTAGTGACTAAGGCCGACATATTCCTTAGACACAGCTGTTAATTAATAGCCCATACAGCTAATGGCAACTAAGGGACCTACAGTTTATAGTTTCCTCAATCGCACAAAGTTCTAATACTTTTGGTTAGTCATCGGATGAATATCAAAACAAAGACTCACTACAAGAAATATTCGTAGAAAGTTTACACAGTGAAAACCCGATTTTTTCAGATTCGTTTACACAATTCAAACTATATCAGTACAAAACATTGTCACCGGTGATATACCGTGTCCAATATCGACGATTGCGGCAAAGTCCACCATTTTGGCAGCCTCCGCCAATCCTCGACCCATGTTTCACCCCTCAGGGTTTTTTAAGCTTTCACTATTCGAATGTATAAAAAACCGCCCGAGGGTAGGGCCACCCCTAGTCTAGGCGGGGGGAGGTGGCACTATGTACTGTTAGCCCATGCTGCCAACACATAAAATCAATAATAGGAGCATAGCCGATAGTGGAGGGGCGCCCTTTGCTAGGTTCTATGTCGGTTTAATCTATTTTCAAAATTCACCCCTTCTCTAGTCTTTGTTGCCGTAATTCCAGATAATCATTCGAGTACCAAAATATTAGCGAAATTAGCAGGACGTGTTCGATTAACTGTGAAATTCGCATGTGTTTGGAATTGTGTCGAGAACGAGACACGGTCTTTCGTGGAGCACGAGGAACGGAGGAAACGGAGGATTGGACAAGGAACGACCGGAGCAGCGGACCGTGTGACAGGTCGTGATGTGGAGGATGGAGAAATGAAAAATATAAACATGGCACAAAAGATGAAAATGCCATGTTTCCGATTATTATACGTATAGTAAAAACGTGTTTTTTATTCATTCTAAATCTCCTAAATACAAGTTGGGGAATCGAGAGAGTTAGGATGAGTTTGATGAAAAAGGAATTTTCTTTATTCAGCTAAAACCTGAAACACCTAAAAAATAAAAAGTATAAATATTGCCTATTTACCAACACCATCAGGATTCTCTTATATGAATACAATCAATACTTATTTCGTATTTTACAGAAATAAAATTAACTAAAAAAATCCAACATTTCTTAAAGGATGGAATTTTAAGCAACGGAAGTAATTAAGGGCTGCTCATCATCAAAGATGGACTCGCTGGAAAATAACAGTAGGAGAAATTATGAATTAAAAAGGTGTTAGGTTTCCATTAAGTAGGAGTTTTTATCGTGAGTAACGCCGGGAACGATGCATCTACCCTCGCTGAGAAAATATAATAAAGAAATGCAAAATTTCCCATTTCACAGGTATATCTGGAGTTTTATTTCATTAGCTCGCACTGCCCCGTCTCGGATTACGACTTAAGGCTGGAGTGTTTTTGTAATTTGGAGACGATGCTTGTAAGACGTCCTCACTGAAGTTGGATTTTAAATTATTCAGTCTATTTCTGAATTAAAATTTAAAAACTTACTTTTTGGATTATAAAGTCAAATTTATGCTGTGTAAATAAGATGAACTGCGAAAAAACTAAATAAAGCAATTTTTCTAGGCCATAAAAAAAAAATCAAAATTAGTCCGGTTTATGAATTCAGTAATAGAGTCTGTCCCAATTCTCTACTTCATATAAATAAACGGAGGTATATACGTACATATAAAAATA